GGGACAGAAGGAGAGAGGGGAACCTCTAAAGCGTGAAAGGGCAACAGAAAGACTGGCAGAGAGAGACCCAGAGTCAGAAACGCGAGGGGCAGGGAGAGAAGGACTCAACCGGAGACAGGTCAGGAAGAGAGAGAAATTGAACTTCACCGAGAAAGAACGGGAAAAGCTGGAGGTAGAAGGAACGGTGACAGAATGAAGACAAAGTTCACTCCAGAGAAAGGCAGAGCCACAGAGAAACACGGGTGAGAGGGAGTAAGGACAGAAAGGGACGGAGAGAGGCCAGCAGACGCCCAGAGAGAGAGAGAGAAGCAGACAGACAGAAAGACAGACAGGGCTGGGCCCAGGCTGGGGGCTTGGGGAGGCTGGTGACCACGGGTGAGGCGAGGGTCAGGGCACACCTCCAGCTCGGGGGCAGCGCCTATGGGGCTCTGGGGTGGCCGGGTCCAGGGCAGGCTGAGGGACAGGGGGCAGAGGTGAGGGAGGCGGCCCTTGGGTTCCGGATCTTGGAGTTTACCCGTGGTAGAACACTGCAAACAGGCGCCCAGCCTGGCCCACGGCAGGCGAGGGTGGGATGGGCTGCGCCCCAGCCCTGGCACCCGTGGGCCCGACACGCCCACCTGTGGCCTGGCTGGTGAGTAACGCGGTGGCACCTGGGTAGATGGTGACACATCGGAGAACAGTCATGGTGACAAACAGGGACAGATATAGGCAGGCCCAGGGTGACGGAGACATAAACAGACCCATAGGACCCAGGGACAGAGACAAGCTGCTAACAGACACAGTGACGGACACGCACGGTAATAGACATCAGGCTGCGAGGAAGGTCAAACCTGTTAGGCAGGGAGAGACAGCAACAAAACACAAGCAGTGAGAGACGGGACGCAGTGACAGAGAGGCACATACAACACACGCTGACATGCTGACCGGAGAGATGCATCATGAACACGCAAGCCTGTCACATAATGACCCTGACATGTTCACACCAAGATACATGTGACATCCAGCGACACTTTGAAACAGACACACAGACACACACACACACACACACTTGCAACCCACCCAGACTGCTGGCTTCTGGGCTTGCTTCCCTCCTCTCGGTGCAGGTTGTGATAAGGAATGAGGGTGACTCTGAGAAAGGGCTCGGGACCCCAAGTCCCCACCTTGCTGTCACCCCTCTTGTGCTCTTGTGTGACTGTGGGCAAGTGGCTTCACCGCCTCCTGCCTCCGTTTCACCAAGAATAAAATGGGGGCGGGGTGGTGGGAAGGAAGAGGGTCGATCCATTCTGCAAGGTGCTCGCGCGACACCGGACACACGGTAAGCCCCTAGTGGCTATTAAGATTCTCTCATCGCATGCCTTCTGATGCGCTTGGACCTCTGCCGAGAGCTGGGACCCTGCCCTGGCCCTCTTTTTCCCCAGCCGTGGGCCCCTCCCTCGGACCATGTCACCTCAGACCTATAGGCTCGGTCCAGGTTCACCTGTCCCAGCCCAGGCTTCTGTGTCCCCAGGGCGATCCCTCCATCCCTGATCCCCGGCACCCTCGTGTCTGTCCATGGGTCCCACGTCTGACCGTGGTACTTTTCCACGCTGGACTTCAGCCGGCTGTCCCTGGGGTGGGGGTCACACCTGCCCACGCCAGCCGAGCCGGTGGCCACCAGACACCCTGACGGATGGCCCCACCCTCCCCCCAGGACCCTACAACAACACCCGCCCCTCCGGCCACCTGAGGTCCCTACTGGGGCGGCCTGAGGCCCAAGCCTGGGGACAGGAAGCCCCAGGCCTAGCCGCCCTGAAAGCCTCTTTCAGCCAGGGCCTCCTCCCGCCACCACCGACTCCTCCCGCGGAATAATATTTGGGCTGTTGGCCGGGGTGGGGGGGGGTGGGGGCCAGATCCGGAGGCCGCCTGGGAGAAGCCAGAAACCGCAGGGCTTCCTGCCTCAGGCCGGCTGATTCCAGGAGAGACCCCCAGGCCCGAGGGAGGGGGGCAGGCGCCCGGGGAGACTGAGGGCCTTTCTCCTCGGCCCCAGTTGTTTTTTCCAGGAATCAAGAGGAATTCCCCGGCCTGCCCAGGACAGCGAGGCCGGTGGGACGGCTGACGGGGAGCCAGCGCGGCAGGGGGCGGGGGGGTGACACGCAGCCGCCGCCGCCGCCGCAGGGCGGGCACAGCGACAGAAATAGAGGGCCTGGCCCGCGAGGTGGCAGGTAGCGGCAAAAGCTCAGGGACGTGGAGACCGGAGAGGGAGGGACGAGGCCAGAGCTCCGCGGAGGGAAGGGGACGGCAGACCCCAGAGAGGAGTCACGGTCCCCAAGAGGAGGAGGGAGGGACCCAGAGCCCAGAGAGACGGAGGGCGGGACGGAGTCAAAGCAACGGGGAGAATGAGAGAGAAAGCACAAGGCAGACCGTGTAAGAGGTAGGCATACAAAGGATGAGCAAAATTCTCAAAAAAGCCAAGAGACCAAGGTCCAGAGAGAGGACTAGGGACAGAGTGGCACGGAGACAGGACACTGAGGGACAGAAAGATGGGGGGCGCCTGGGCGGCTCCGTCAGGTGACCCTCTGACTTCGGCTCCGGTCACGGTCTCGCGGTTCGTGGGTTCGAGCCCCGCGTCGGGCTCCGTGCCGACAGCTCGGAGCCTGGAGCCTGCTTCGGATTCGTGTCTCCCTCTCTCTCTGCCCCTCCCCCACCCCTCTCAAAAATAAAACATTAAAAAAAATGAAAAATAAAAGAGACAGAAAGATGGACACACAGAAACCAGGGGAGATGTCACACACACGTAAACAGACAGCCGGTGGTCTCTGAATGAATGACTGCTGAACAAATGAATGAATGACCAGGCAAGCAAGAACCAAGAAAGGCAAACCCCCATAAGGGGGTAAGCAACGGACATAAGGAGACGGAGCCTGCGCACCTGCTCTAGCCCGGCTGACCGACGTGGGCCGGGGACCTGTCCTTCCGAGCTTCGGCTTCTCTGTGAAATGAGATCCTCGCGCTCAGGACATCTGAGCGACTGACACCAGACTCAGAGCCTAGGGAAGACGCCTGGAGGAACAGAGACACCCAGACACCAACCCCAGAGCCCCACAGCCCCCGGAGCTCCTTCCCCACACACCTGCCTGCGGAAGTGGCAGCCGACCTTCCACACGACAGTGACAGGCACACTCCACAAACCCAGGGGGGCGCTTGTGAACATCCACGCAGGTACCGACTCACGGACGTACACGCAAAACACACAGTGGCAGGCAGGCCTGCGACACAGAGCCACACGCAGACTCCCCAGGGCCGCAGGTGTGCAGACAAATTGACACACACAGACCTGCAGCTAATAGTGTGGGGCCCAGAAAGACCCAGGGGTAGGTGTGCAAGAGAACCACACACACAAAACAATAAGAAATCTCGGGCCAGCAGCACCTGGGGGGGGGGGCAGGGGAGGCTCTGTTGGTTAAGTGTCCCACTCTTGATTTCGGCTCAGGTCATCATCTCACGGCTTCTGGGTTCGAGCCCTGCATCGGGCTCTGCGCTGACAGTGTGGAGCCCGCTTGAGATTTTCTCTCTCTCTCTCTCTCTCTCTCTGCCCTTCCCTCCCGGTGCCCCCCGCCCGGCCCCCCCCCCGCTCCCGGGGGCGGGGGGGGGCGCGCACATGCGCACACGCTCTCTCTCTCTTTCAAAATAAATAAATAAACATTAAATAAACAAACAAACCAGGACACCTACAGTTAACACCCAGGGTAAGAACAGACATGAAAACCCACACAACCGAGGGATACAAACAACTGGTAACATTCAGAGGTAACAATAGGCAGACCACAGAGACCTCAATGGGCACAGTGTAGCCTAGAGCCAACAGAGACCCCTCCCCCCCACACGGAGATAAGCCCCAATACACACACCATATCCTTCAATTAACACCTTGTTTGTCCCTCCCCTTCCTCCCCAGCTGAACCAAAAATTGAGCAGCCCCCTGGGCTCCTTGGGCCTCAGAGCTAGAGGTGTGTTTCCAGGGAGTGGGGGTAGGATGGCCTTGGTCACTGCTGAGCCACCTCCCCCTGCTGCCCTGGCCCCACTGCTGCGGGGGCTGCTATCTGTGAGCAAACTGTCCTTGGGGTCAGGGACAGCAAAGAGCCAAAGGTCAGGTCGATGCCTCCCCAGGCCCCTCCTCCACAGGCAGCCAGAGAGGGGACAGGGAAACGACAATTCAGGTGTTCAAGCCCCACGGGGCCCACCGTCCAAGGAAAAGAGACATTCAGCGAGAGGCAGAAACGGTGCCTTTAATGGTCAAACACAGCCAGTATCCCGCTTCCCAGGCAAGAACCAGATTTCAGTAGAAATTTCCCAAACCTTAGCCAGTCCTTTCTGGATTCTCCTGGCCCAGAGGGGGGAATGGGCTCCAGAAAACAACAGAGAGGAGGATTCTCACCTCCATTCCTTGCTCAGTTCACACCAAAGGGGCCGTGATAGCTGTCATGGTGCACGATGGTTCACTGCTTATGTCCGCCAACCAAGATGGTGGCCATCATAGCACCCAATAGGCCAAATAAAGATGTTATGCAGGATGTTGGCCCACTTGGCATCTCCTATGCCAAGAAGCTCCCCAAAAAAGAAGTGATCACAGCACCCCACGGGCCAAAGAAGATGTAACTGAAATGGTATCACTGTCACAGCCAAAGGGTCAGTCAAGAGGATGTCCATCACCATGTCCAAAGGGCTAACTGAGATGTCCTCCAAGATGGCGGCCATCAGAGCACCCAATGGATCGACTTATAAACAGCAATCAACATGGCAGTCTTTGTAGTACCCAGTGGGCCCACCACGATGTCAACGGCAGTTATCACAGTACCCAAGGAATGGACACGATGCCCACAGAGACAGCAGTCACCACAGTAACAGACCAGCCAAGATGTTAACTGACGGGACAAGCAAAGTGTTACCAGGTGGATCAGGCCCCAAGCGCCCGATGGTGTACACCACAGCCATACCCCACCCACCACGCTCCCACGCCCCTGCTAGGATGCATTAAGCAGAGAGCGGGGATAGGCTCCCTGGAAGTAGACCCCAGGCTCTCCACCCTCTGCCCCGTAGCCCCCAAACCCCACGTCCAGTTTAGGAGGTGCTGGTGTCTGTTCTGACATCAGGTTGTTGATAGAGAAGGGGTGGTTGAAGTTGTAGGGTGCATCTAGCTTCAGCTCCCCCGGGAGCTCCAGGCCAGTGAAATAGGGGGTGGAGGAAGGAGGTGAGCCACAGTCCAGAGCCCCCACGTCTTCCCCACCCTGGGCCTCAGGCTCCGGCGGTGGGGGCTGGGGCTGGGTGGGGGAGGTGATCGTGGCAGCAGGGGCGGTGGCCGAGGCAGCAGAGCCGGCACTGTTCCTCGGGGTGGACGTCCCGCCAGCCCCTTTCTTCACCTTCTCCTCCAGCTTGAAGCGCTTCTGGCGGCGCAGGTAGCAGCCGTTCTCAAACATGTTACCTGAGCTGGGGTGCAGGGCCCAGTAGGAGCCCTTGCCTGGCTTGTCTGGGGAGCGCGCAACTTTGACAAAGCAGTCGTTGAAAGACAGGGAGTGGCGGATGGAGTTCTGCCAGCGCTGCTGATTCTCCCTGTAGTAAGGGAACAGGTCCATGATCCACTGGTAGATCTCGCTCAGGGTCAGCATCTTGCCCGGTGCCTGCTGGATGGCCATGGTGATGAGCGAGATGTAGGAATATGGCGGCTTGGCATGGGCCAGGGGCCGCCGGTAGCCTTTGGGCATCTCCTTCCCGTGCACCCCCGGGCCCGGGCCCCCATACCCTGAGCTGCCACCGCCACCAGTGCTGGCGCCCAGGCTTGGGAAGGTGGGTCCCAGGGGCGCTGCGGGGGCTGGGGGCGCTAAGGGTCCTGAGGGCAGTGGAGAGGCAGGGAGCCCCCCGGGGGGGTAGGGAGAGCTCAGAGGGTTCAGGGTCATGTAGGAGTTGAGGGGAGCCATGGTGGGCACTGGGGTCACCGGTGAGTACACCTGGCGGGAGAGAAGGAGATGGGAGAGGTCAGTGAGTTTCTATTCTGCTGGTCAGCAAAGGATCACTGCCCCCCCACCCAGGGTGTCCAGCTGTCTGTCTGTCCTGCCTCTTCTATGAACCTCTTCCCATCCTTATCTCTCTCTGTAGATGGCTGTGTCTTGAAGTCTCTCTTTCTTCCATCCTCACGCACCCCATCCCTGACCTCACCCTCCATTCCCCCATGCTCCCGTATACTGAAGCTCATGTGTGGCCCAGGACACCCTGGGGAATCTCTAAGACCCTTTTAGGGTGTAGGGTGTCCGTGAGGTCCAAACGATTTTCACATAATGCTGAGATCTTACTAGCCCTTTTCACTTCCGCTCATGAGTGTACAGTGGAGTTTTCCAGAGGCTACGGGGCATGTGACATTGCAATGGACCAAATGGATAAGCAGCCACAAGAATCCAGCCGTCTCCTATTGAACCAGACACTGAAGAGATCTGCCAAAACTATAACAGTGCCGCTCCCCTCACTAAATGTTTTGAAATATAGTTACTCTTTTTATTTTACTTTCTATTCTATTCTATTCTATTCTATTCTATTCTATTCTATTCTATCCTATTCTTTTTTTTTTTTTTAAGTAGGCTCCATGCCCAATGTGGGGCTTGAATTTACAATCCTAAGTTTAACAGTTGCATGCTTTGCCAACTGAGCCAACCAGGTACCCCGAAATATGATTTTCATTATATTTATATACGAAATACGTACATATTAAATACCAAATAATGAATTTCATTCATTCATTCATTTTGAGAGAGAGAGAAGTAGGAGCAAAGGCAAAGGGAGAGAGAATCCTTTTTAAATTTTTTTTAATGTTTTATTTATTTTTGAGAGAGAGAGAGTGTGAACAGGGGAGGGTCAGAGAGAGGGAGACACAGAATCTGAAGCAGGCTCCAGGCTCTGAGCTAGCTGTCAGCACAGAGCCTGACATGGGACTCGAACCCACGAACTGTGAGATTGTGACCTGAGCCAAAGTCAGATGCTTAACCGACTGAGCCACCCAGACGCCCCACAGGGAGAGAGAATCTTAAACAGGCTCCACAGTGAGCGTGGAGCCCAACATGGGGCTTGATCCCATGATCCTGGGATCATGACCTGAGCCAATATCAACAACAGTCAGAAGCTCGACCGACCAAACCACTCAGGTGCCCCCAGAATATAGTTATTTTAATAAAAATGCAGTGTTTGTACTAAAAAATTATTATTTTATTTAAAAAATTTTTAATGTTTATTTTTGAAATGGAGAGAGAGAGAGTGCAAGCAGGGGAGGGGCAGAGAGAGAGGGAGACACAGAATATGAAGCGGGCTGCAGGCTCTGAGCTGTCAGCATAGAGCTCGACATGGGGCTCGAACCCATGAACCGTGAGATCATGACCTGAGCAGAAGTTGGACACTTAACCAACTGAGCCACCCAGGTGCCCCTAAAAATTTTTAATTAATCCACACCTTAAAATTTTCTCAGTTTTAATTTCAAATGCAGTAATTTTTTTTAATGCAGTAACTACTGATAGACCTAATCCACATGAATGAAAACTGTTTGAGGTCCTCAATAACTTTTAAGCATGTAGGGGCGCCTGGGAGGCTCAGTCGGTTGAACGTCCAACTTTGGCTCAGGTCATGATCTCACGGTTCATGGGTTCGAGCCCCGCATCGGGCTCTGTGCTGACAGCTAGTTCAGAGCCTGGAGCCTGCTTCAGATTCTGTGTCTCCCTCTCTCTCTGACCCTCCCCTACTCACACTGTTTCTCTCTCTCAGAAATAAAATAAATAAATAAATAGCTTTTAAGCATGTAAAGAGGTCTCGAAACTAAAAATAACTGAAAACTGCTGGTTTATCTAACGTGGGTATTCTCTATAAATCTTTTAGGTTATGGAATTACAGTGGTTATTGGTCAAAAATGTTTCAGTATCCGAAATGATAGATTTCAACCTAATACATATATTTTGTGTGTGTGTGTGTGTATATATATATATGTGTATGTATATATGTGTATATACACATATGTATGTAAATATATGTGTACATATATATATAATTTTTATTTACTTACTTTGAGAGAGACAGAGAGAGCGGGAGCAGGGAAGGGGCAGAGAGAGAGGGAGAAAGGGAGAATCCCAAGCAGGCTCAGTGCTGTCCGTGCAGAGTCGAACACAGGGCTTGAACTCACAAACTGTGAGATCATGACCTGAGCCCAAATCAAGAATGGAACGTTCAAGCGACTGAGCCACCCAGGTGCCCCCTCAACCTAATATACATTATGTATTTACTATATCTCATCAAATCTGAGACATTTATATTTGTAAACTACAGTGATATTTTAGGTAGCAATAAGAATGGGGGGGGGGCGCCTGGGTGGCTTAGTCGGTTAAGCGTCCGACTTTCGCTTGGGTCATGATCTCGCGGTTTGTGGGTTCGAGCCCCACGTCGGCCTCTGTGCTGACTGCCAGCTCGGAGCCTGGAGCCTGTTTCAGTCTGTGACTCCCTCTCTCTCTGACCCTCCCCTGCTCATGCTGTCTCTCTCTCTCCTAGAAATAAATAAAGCATTAAAAAAAAAAAAGAATGGGGGGGAACATGTCAGTCTCTTGACGCTATTGACTGTAAACCCCATTTCAGAAATTTTCAAATGGGGAAGAGCACGCATCTTCACTCAATGAAATACAGTAGGCATTGCTAAGTCTCTCCAAATAACCGTCTATTTTTTTATCCATTGAACCAATATCTCTTGGTCACCTACTTTACGCCAGGCACTTCTCCAAACACTTCACAGGAAAGGTCTCCTTTTCAACCTTTACAATCGTAGTGCGGGGGAGGTGCTACTATGACACCCATTGTATAGCTGAGCAAGCTGAGGCCCAGAGAGGCTGTCCAGGGTCACACCGTACGGAAGGGGCAGAACTGCGATTCTGAATTTTAGGCAGCCTTGGCTCTAGACCACCACTCAGGATCATGCCATAAAAGCAGTGACCAGGACAGATGGAAATGTCACGGGCCTGACAGCCTAGCAGGAAGTGAACAAGATAAACAAGGAAAATATAAAGCTGGTGGGTGGTGATTTCTCCTTGCGGGGGGGGGGGGGGTGCGTATTTACCCCTTTCATCCGCTGTCTACCATCTTCTCTCCCTCCCTGCCCGTCTGCCCTGCTCCCTCCCCACGCTGAGGTCTCCTGCTGCTCTATTTCCTATTTCTGGAGGGAGCCACCTTTGCTGTGAGTCACTGGGTCCTGTCTTGTCCCCTGTCACGTAAGGAAGGGTCTGCAGGTCCCAAGGTCCTGAGAGAAAAGGGAATTGCCAGGGTCAAGCAGAGAGTCAGAGACAGGTGGGAACCAACCTTCGTCTGAGCGCAGGTAGAGAAACTCTCTCTCTCTCTCTCATGCACTTTCAGGTAGCTCTTTTGTCTCCTGTGTCTGAATCTCCCAGCTGGCTCCATGTGTATCTGTCCATCTCTTTCCCTGTCTCAGTACCTCTCTGACCCTCCCCTCTCTCCTTCCCCGTCTCTCTCCCCTCCTTGCTGTCTCCCTAGTCTCTACTCCTCGATCTCTTTCCAAACGTCCTACCCCAGTCCCTCCCCCATCTCTTTCTCGCCCCTGTTTTCACCTCCTTCTCCAGTCTCTCTTTCTCATCTCTCCCGTATGCCCCTGCGTTTCCCTCCTCCTAACTCTTCCCAACCCCATCTCTTCCCCCCACCATATATCTCTCCCTGTCCTCCCTGGCTCTATCTCTCCCTGTCTCTCACTATCCCACTCCCCTGCCATGTCTCTTTCCCTCCAGTCCATCTTTGTATCTCTGTTCTCTCCATTCGGCATCATCATCTCCCCAGAAGCCTCACAATGAAACTGGGAGTCACAGCTACCCCTCCCCCCTGCACCAGTCTCCCCACCACCACCTTAGCTGTTTCTGCCCTCTCCCTAGAATAAGGGAAGGGAAGAGGGTCCTTTCAAGCTGAGGGGAGGCAGCAGACTCAGGGGCATCCACAGAGAGTTCCTAAATCCCTCTGCACCCCCCCCTTCAATTCTCCAACTCCATCGGACTCCTTTGTATCACAGAGGAAGACTGACCAGGACCCCAGGCCCCTCCTTTTCTGGTCCCCACCCACCCGGAAGTCCTCCTTCACGTCTGACCTCAAGCACTCCAGCTGCCCTAATCCACCCTAGGCTTTCCCACGCCCCAGGGCTGGGATGAACCCCCAGTGTCCGGGTGTGAGCCGGATCTCCCCTGCCAGGGCGGGGCTGGGATTGGGGGGAAGCCTTCAGGGGACCTGCACCCCCATCCCAGGAGGCTGGAATTTCTCTCCTTTCATTTCCTTATTGTCTCTGGGGGAGGGTGTGACAGCGGGCAGAGGAAGGCAGTGTGAAACCAGAAGCCTAGTTTTCAGTCCTTGCCCCCCCCCTCCAGACCCTCAAGCAGCCCCCAGCACTCGGAGAGGCTTCAGAGTTCCCACCTCTAACAAGGGGGGAGCACTTGGACCAGCTGATCTGTAGAACCGGAGGCCAGGGGGGGACACCCCAGGGTGCTAACTTTCCAATTTCCTTCCAGATGGGGAGCCTGCCCCAGGGTGTCAATCACCCCAGCAGGAGGGTGCCGTGAGCAAGAAGCGGTTTGGGGACCCTCTTAGTTCTTAGATGCTGAGTGAGTGCAGATGTTTCTCTTCCTATTGTTCCGACCCAAGGGGGAGGAGGCAGCTCCGCCCGGTTGCTGATCGGAAGGCTGGGGATACCATCAGATCGTATTTCCATTTCCAGCCCCCAACATGTTAACTCTTCCAAAATATGCCCCCAAATGTTAGTGCTCTCTAGACTGTCCCTTGATTTCTGACAGTTTCCATACAAATTCTTAAACTTCAGACTGTGTCCCACTTCTCCATCCTCAGACCCGCACAACTTACTTCTTCTAGATGTGCCCACCCCAACACAGATCGGTAGTTGGTTCTCTTAAATCAGGTCACCAGGCTCTGAATTCTAGATCTAGGGGTTCAGCTGGGATTCCCCCACTACCTGGGAGCCTCCACGTCCAACCTGGTCTGTGCCTTCCCCGCTGTACAACTGACACCTCCAACTCTCAGCACCCCCAATCCCTTCCCTGGTCGGCCTGCCCCACCCCACGTGCACCTCACACCTCCACAGCCCCAGGACTGGCCCCTCCCGGGCACCCTGCCAAGCCCCGCAGGCCTGGGGAACCGGGAGTCCCACCCTACGCTTCAAACCCCAGACCCAGAACTCAAGGCACGGCGGGGCCCCTGTAACCCCCAGATCTCAGACTCTCTGGAGCTCTCGGCCATTTCCAGCCCCACTCCCACCCGAAGCCCAAAGTCTCCTTCCAGGTTAGGAACCCAAGTGTCCGGACCCCCACAACCCTCCTACCAGGACCCCTCCCCCGCCACTTCGCAATCCTGACTACAGAAAGACCGAGCCAAGGAGGAGCCCTTGCAGCAACCGGACTGGGAATTAGACTTGGGGAAGGACTTTCGGGTCGGCTGAGGTGCGTGGAATTAAGATACACCCCGCCCCCTACTCCTAGGGCAGCCAGTCGAGGTGGGACAGTGAGGACATTAGCAATTACTGGAGATAACTGGAAGGGGGTGGTGGTGGTGTGAAATCTGAAACCCTCCAGCCTCCAATTAGGAGTATCCCTGCTGAGCGTCTCTAAAAACAATTAAACCACTGAAGTTCAGTGGGGAGGGGGTAAGGGTCAGGAATAGGGATGGGGGGTGGAGATTGACCCCTCTGCAGCCAATGCTGTTGCTCACATCTGTTCTCAGGCTCCCAACTCCGACCGCATCTGGGCCCCCATCTATCTGAGCCCCAACTCTCACCCACCTGTTATTACAGACTCCCCAAACCATGTTTCATCTCTGAGTACCTCCATCTCTTAAACTGGAGCACCAGTCCCTATTTCTGATTCTTAGATCGCCACCCACATGTTTATCTCCCGACCCCAATTCTGATTTCTACCCCAGAGCCCCCATCTTTAACTATATTCTAACCTTGAGCTCCCGCCTCAGACTTTCCTTAATGGTGACCTCTTTCTCGCAACTCTTAGTTCTGGTCTTTCCCCTCATTTTGAACCCCATTTCCTAACCCGCCAGCTCGGATTCCTATCTTTGGTTTTTGAAATTTCAATCCTTTGGATTTGGGGTCCCACCTCCCAGTCTTCACGTTTAAACTATGACCTGACGCTTGCCTAAATTTTTCTGACCCCCATTTAAGCCCTCGCTCCAACCAGCCTAAACCGCACTCCCATGCCTTGTCCCCCATCCCTGACTCCTACACCTGGTCTCGGGGTCTCTAGCTCCTCCGCTCCTCAACTGTAGTTGGGGCCCCTATGTAATCCCCATCCTTGCCCCCATTTACGCTCGCACCCTGATTCCTGCCCCCCACTTCCCGCTCCGCCATCCCCCGAAGACACACCTCGCCCGCCTCCGGGTAGTAGCTCCACTCGGCCAGGTCATGGGCCTCCATCTTCACCGAGCCCAGCATCCCCCGGGCCTGCGCCCCCTCCCGCCCCCGCTCCGGCCCGGGGGGAACCGAGCGCTTCAGATCTCTCAGCCGGCACGGCCCGAGTTCCGACCGGTGCCCGCCCGTCCGACCGCCCGGGGTCCCAGCCGTCCTGGGCGCCGCGGGAGGCGGCCACGCTTTATAGCTGGGACACCCCCACGCCACCCCCGCCCTCGCCCGCCCCGGGCTCCCCTCCCGCCTCCCCGAGGGCCCGCGCGCTGGGACTGGGGCGCCCCCTGCGGGATTGCGAGGACATAGACCTCAGGCGCCGGGAGCCTCAGCCCGCGGCCGAGGAAGCTAGAGGTGGCTGAAGAGTGACGGAGCCACAGGTGGGAGGCGCTGCGGATGCCAAAGCCCGCAAAGGCAGAACTCTGGGGCTTTTCTACCCCAGTGGGTTTCATCATCTCGACAGGAGACGGCGAATAGCCAGAGCCCAGTGTGACCGCGGCGGAGGAAAGGGGGCTCAGAGCGCAGTGGATTGCAGAGGTCCGCATGCAAGTATGAGGACCGTTAAGAGGCCCTCGAACCCACATTCCCACTGGACAAGACTGGAAGATTGACGCTTCTGACAGCTGGAAATACTCCAGCCTGCGTAAATGGGCAGGACCAAAGATGGAGGGGATCGGAGCCTCTGCTTAGATTCCACTGTGGGCAACAGACCATCTCCAGGACCTAGGAGCTTCGTCGCCCGGACTGTCCACTGGCTCTAACACCAGCCGTCCAGGGACTCGGAACCACCGAGAACTCCATTTCCCAAAAGCCTCTACCTTCCTTTCCGTCCAGTGCCTCTGCCAAGGGACTACATTTCCCTTAAGGCACGGCGCTCAAAGGCCGGAAATGAAGGGCGTCCCGGCGTCGTCTGGCTGCGGGCGGAAGGCCGCTCGCGCAGCCGGAGGTAGGGGCGGGTTCGGGCCGCCGTGTGGACTCCATTTCCCGGCGGCCCCGCGCGCGCGGCGCGTGCGCAGTGTCCCGGCGGCGAACGGAAGATGGCGACGGCGGCGTCTGTGAAGAGGCGCTGCTGAGGGGGCGCGAGGGGGACGGAGGCCTGCGCCGCGGTGAGCGGGGGGCGGCGTGGGGGCCCGGGAACGAAGGGAGGAGGGGCCCTGAAGCGGCAGGGGCGCTGGCCGGTGGGTTGGGGCTCTGCGAGGAAAGGGGAGCAGTGACGTTCGGGGACCCCAGTTTCTTCCCCAGCTCAGGACCCTCCCGTGGCTTCCCGGTGCCCTCAGGGCAAAGTTCCAACGTGGCCCCCGAGGCGCGTCGGCCCAGCCGGCCTCGGCTCGGCCTCTCTCTCGTTCCGCACTTCGCAGAGCTGCACCGGCCTTCCGGTTCCTCAAACTCGCCATGCGCCTTCCCGCCTCTGGATTTTTTGCACATGCTGTCCCCTCCGCCCGCAGCCTCCTTTCACCCATTCTTCCTGGCTGACTCCCATTCATCTTTCGGGTCTCGGCGCCAACGTCACTTCCTATGTGAAGCCCTCCATTCCCGCCCTCCGTCCCGAAATCCGCCTGTTAACACGCTCTCATAGGCCCCTCTTCCTTTCCTTCATGTCACACGTGGTCCAGTGTATCCCTGGACCTCTGTTGGTGGGGCTTTTTGACTCGGCCCTTGACCGCGAGCTCCGCGGCGACCGGGACTGAGTATGTGCTGGTCATCGCTTAATTCCCAGCTCAGAGCTGGTCACACTGAAAACACCCGGTTACTGTTCGTTGAATGAATGAAAGATACTCCTGGGGTTCCTGCGGAAATGGAGGGGAGGGCTCGTCGTACTCCCAGGTGGGAGTGTACCTGGAGAGAAGGGGACACTGTGATGGGCGGTAGTAGCAAAAAGGCTGCAAACGCCCCAAATGTTCTCTAATAGGGGAGCCCGGAAGAAGCTGGTAACCTCCACATCATAAAATGCTATGCACCTGTGAAAAGGAGTGAGGGCCTGGGGGGGGGAAGGGAATGACGAAATGTCAGTACACTGATCTGGAGAGTGGGCTCCAGACCATATTCAGTGAAAACCAGCGGAGATGGAAGACAGTGCTTATCACATGCTCCCTTTTTACAAAAGAAAGGGAGGGGCGCCTGGGTGGCTCAGTCGCATGAGTGCCTGACTTGGGCCCAGGTCATGATCTTGAGGGTTCAAGCCCGGCGTGGGACTCTGTGCTGACAGCTCTGAGCCTGGAGCCTGCTTCAGATTCTGTGTGTCCCTCCCTCTCTGCCCCTCCACCTGCTCACTCTCTATCTCTCTCCAATAAAAACATTTAAAAAAGAAAAGGGAAATATGTTTATACTCAACGACAGCTAAAGGATAAACCAACAAGTAGAAGAAGAGGAGCACAGGGTAAAAAAATAAATTGGTAGATCTCAACGGATTGTTGTGGACAGAGTGGAAAGGTTCGTCATGAAAAGGTTTATTATGTTCTGATGAGAGGCGGCTGTATGCTTGGTTGTCAGGTGACCTCGCCCCTTGCGGGAACACCCAGAGGGGAGCAGGAATTCCTTTCAGAGAGGCAGTCCAGCAGGGGGGCGAGGAGGGGAGATTGCGTGGTCCTGCTGCTGGCTCTGCCTTTCAGAAGCTGCGAGCCTTTAGTCCAGTGACTTTACCTCCCTTGCCTTCAAATCTCATCTGTGAAATGGAGATTAAAAATAGAACCTGCCTCAGGCCGCCCGGCTGGCTCTGTCAGTGGAGCATGCAATTCTCCATGGCAGGGCGGTGAGTTCACATCCCACATTGGGTGTGGAACCTACTTAAAAATAAATAAATAAATAAATAAATAAAGATAGTACCCGCCTCAAAGCGGTGGTGTTTTGAGGATGTAAATAAGTTGTGTATTAGAATTGTGTCTGGCACATGTTATTCAATATTAGGTATTATTTTTGAAGCATTCTAGAACCGAAGGGCATGGACACGAAGTCCAGTGGTTGCCGAAGCCCTTTAGCATTCCCCCAGATATTTACTGAGCCCGTACCAGGTGCTGAGCACTGTTCCATGGTGAAGATCTAGAAAGGGAGCACGCACACACATCCTGACTTTCACAGAGCCTATATAGTACGTGGGTGATAATCAAGGCTGTGTAGAAAAACTAGAGTAACACAGTTGGAGAGGGAGAAGGAATTGACATTTCAAATAGGATAGTCAGGGAAGACCTGGAACACAGCCTCTAGATGAAAGCGAGGGCAGAGGTGGAAGGAGCCACTCACACGACGTCTTGTAGGCCTTCGTGAGGATGATGGCTTGGACTCTGTGCAAGATGTGGGTGTGACAGATGGCAGGGAGACTAGGAAGGGGGCTTTTGGATACTCATTCATTCTGCAGACATCTGTTGCATTACATTCCTTTTAAAAAGCGCCTCATTTTCACCCTCAAAGGATTATTAAACCGTCTATGCAACATCCTTCAGATCTCAGGCGTAGCTATACTTACCCCATGTCTATTATGTTTACTAAGTTATCTAGGCCTCAGAATAGTCCTGGGAGGTAAACATTGTTACTGACCCTGTTTTATAGAGAAGGAAGCAGCCCCCCTTCCCCCCCTTCGTTCTGTGTGCACATACACAAACTTGGAATTGCTCTGTTCCGGGGCCCCATGGGCTGCTGCAGACAGGTCTTTTTATGATAGTTCATTGGGATCCACCAGATTTATTTCACTGTTTCCTCCCTCTTCCGCTTTTGGGTTTCTCTTTTCAGTCTTTTTTTTATTTTTTTAATGTTTTATTTATTTTTGAGACAGACAGAGCATGGGGGGGGGGGGTGCAGAGAAACAGGGAGATAGAGAATCCAAAGCAGGCTCCAGGCTCTGAGGTGTCAGCACAGAGCCCGAGGCGGGGCTCGAACCCACAAATGTAAGATCATGACCTGAGCCAAAGTCGGAGGCTTAACTAACTGAGCAACCCAGGAGCCCCTCAGTCTTTTTAAACAAACATGTTTGTATATATTTCCCTTTTGTGAAAAGGGAGCAAGTGCACCTGGGTGGCTCAGATGGTCAGACATCCGTCTTCAGCTCAGGTCATGATCTCCTGGTTTGTGGGTTCAAGCCCCGCGTTGGGCTCTGTGCTGACAGCTCAGAGCCTGGAGCCTGTCTTCAGATTCTGTATCTCCCTCTCTCTCTGCCCTTCCCCCACTCACGCTCTATCTCTCTCAAAACTAAACATTAAAAAAGGGGGGGAACATACAGTAAACATTGTCTTCCACTTGGCTTGTTTTCACTTAATATATGCTGGAATCCACTGTTTTATCAATGCAGAAGAGCTTCTCCTCACTTTTCTTCATTCCTCCCTCCTTTTTACAGTTGCCTAGTATTTTATTATGTGAATTTATCATGGTTTTTCAGCCAGTCTCCCTGTTGGAGAATACTTGGGTTCTTAACATCTTTTGCTTTTGGGAATGATGCTGTAATGATCCTTATTTTGTAATTTTGCCACATGTGACTTTGGGACAGATGTCCAAAAGTTCTCCTCCCCCCACCCATTGTAAAAAACATAAAATGTATATTTTGAGAGAGAGAGCATGAACAGGGGAGGGACAGAGAGAGAGGGAGATAGCAGATCTGAGGCCAGCTCTGTGCTGATAGCAGAGACTGAGACTCGGGGCTCAAACTCACGAACCACAAGATCATGACCTGAGCTGAAGTCAGATGCTCAACTGACTTGAGCCACCCAGGCGCCCCTCTCCCTCCCCTTTATAAAACAAAACCAAACCAAACCTCCAGGGTATTCCAGAAAATGGTTGAAATGTAATTTATTTAACTAGGCCTTTTTTTTTTTTTTTTAAATTTTTATTTTTATTTCTAGGAGGGAGAGAGAGAGACAGTGTGAGCAGGGGAGGGTCAGAGAGAGAGGGAGTCACAGACTGAAACAGGCTCCAGGCTCTGAGCTGGCAGTCAGCACAGAGCCCGACGCGGGGCTCGAACCCACGAACCGCGAGATCATGACCTAAGCAAAAGTCGGACGCTTAACCAACTAAGCCACCCAGGCGCCCCTTAACTAGGCCTTTTCTGAGGTGAACGCTTAGCATGTGGGATTCTGTGACTGGTGTTCCTCAGAGCTAGGTTTTAGAAGGCTTGCTCTCACATCTAGTCCAGAGTACAGCCCAGATGGCAAGACGGGGTCCTGAAACCAGCGAGGTGGCTGCTGTGTGTCCCTTTGTTCGGTCATTCAGCAGACGCTTGTGGTCAGCCTGTTACGTGCAAAGTACTAGAGGTGAGGCTTGGTACTCCTCGCGGTACTGCCTCTGACCTGGGAGGCATCAGTTTCTCCCAGATTATAACCGCCCCCCCCCCTCCATATACACAGACAGTCTGAGACAGACCCTGGATCGGGGAGGGGCTTCAGAGGACCCAACAGGCCCAAGACAGAATGGAAAAGAGGCTTGAGCCCTTTGTGGAGGGTGGGGTGAAGGTCCAGCCCAGCCACAGGGTCCTGGAGCTTGCTCTCTCCTCCGCTTTTCCAGGAAGTGCCGGACAGCAGCCATGGCAGGCAGCAGTGGGGATAGTGTCACTCGCCGGAGCGTGGCGTCACAGTTCTTCACACAAGAGGAGGGGCCGGGCATCGATGGCATGACCACCTCAGAGAGAGTGAGTGTGGAGCGACGGGCTCGGGGTGGGGAGGCACAGCCCCTGTCTTGGGGGGTGGCACCCCTGGGGGGGGTGCCAGCGGGGCTGGGCTGGCCAGGCTGGCGCCGTCACCTGCCTCCCCTCCACGCAGGTGGTGGACCTCCTGAACCAGGCAGCGCTGATCACCAACGATTCGAAGATCACAGTACTCAAACAGGTGAGGGGGGTGGGGGGGGGTGGGCAGAGCGGCTCAAGGGTCGGGGCTGGTGGCAACGTGTGGAAAAGAAGACGCCGGTGTAGCACCGGTGTCTACGGTTAGGCATTGAGGACGTGCGTGCTGTGGTGCCTGGTGCTGTACAGGCCTGTTCTCACTTGATGCTCACAAAAGCTCTGAGAGCCGCGGTACTTTGGTCCCCGGTTTAGAGAGAAAGCAGCAGAGTCTCAGAACTTAAAATAATGAGCGTCAGGTCAGTGTGCTGGGAGCTGGCTGAGCTAGGACTTGAGTGCTGGATTCCAGCGCCAAATCCGCTGCTCTTCATCCTTGTGTTTCCTCGCCGCCAGGTTCCTGTCCGGTGGGGAAGGCCTGCAGGTCACCAGACAGTGGGAACCGAGTGGGCAGGGCTGGGATGGAGGGGCCCAGACTGCCGCCTGGCCTCGGGATGGGGAGTCGGGGAGGGCTTTCTGGAAGACGGGACATCAGAGCTTGGAGGATAAGGACAAGTGGGCTGGGTGAGAGGGAGAGTGTCTCCAGCAGAGGGCACTGTCGGTTACGCAAAGGCAAGGGAAGGCATGAAGAGTTAGATGGGAGTGGGGGCTGGATGTGGTTCCGACCAGGCCAGGAGGCAGGCAGGGGCGGGGGGGGGGGGGGGGGGGTCGGGCTGGCTACTTGCTCTTGCTTCTGCTCTTGCTCAGCGTGTAGCCTCGGGCTGCTGACTCTTCCTCAGCAGTGGGATCCAGGCCTGTGCTGGCCCAGAAAGTGGATGAAAATGTCTGTGGGAAGGGCTTATGGCAAGTACAAGGGCATCTGGAGATGTGTTCCCACTGTCCTAATTGTGGCCGCGTGAATGGGGAATAGAAAGAGGGAGAGTGGAGAGAATTGATGGATGGGCCCTCAGGAAGGAATTTGGCCAGCACTTCCCTCTTTTCTTTTTTCCTTTCTTTTTTAATGTTTATTCACTTTTGAGAGAGAGACAGAGCATGAGCAGGGGGAGGGGCAGGGAGAGAGGGAGACACAGAATCTGAAGCAGGCTCCAGGCTCCTAGCTATCAGCACAGGGCTCAAACTCATGAACCATGAGATCGTGACCCGAGCCGAAGTCAGATGCTTAACCTACTGAGCCACCGAGGCGCCCCCACTTCTCTCTTTTCTTTAGCCCCCTTGTGTATCATGTGCTCACTACCCACCAGGACCCTGTGCCCTGTATGATCTTATTAAAGCCTCACGGGGGCCCTGTGAGTTGGCATTCAAGATCCCCATTTTATAGAAGAGCAGACAGACTCAGGGAAGCCAGCCTGTCCGGGCCACGGTTGGGAGTGGCAGAGCCAGGATTTGAACTGAGTTTATCTGCTGCCTCCCTCCGTGCTGTGTTCTCCTACACACTCCTGTCTGTACCGACTGGCCCCTGGCTTTATATGCCTGGCCCTCCTCCTCACCCCCAGTCTCCTTCCAGGTGCAGGAACTGATCATCAACAAAGACCCCACACTACTGGACAACTTCCTGGACGTGAGTGACCAACGGAGAGTGAAGGCGAGGGTGTCGGGGGAAGGGGGGGGTCCCGGGGGAAGGGGGGGGTCCTGGCGCAACCATGACCCACCTCCCTCATGTCGGCAGGAGATCATCGCTTTCCAAGCGGACAAGTCAATTGAAGTGCGCAAATTTGTCATCGGCTTCATCGAGGAGGCATGGTACGGGGTGGCGCAGGGAGCCCCGGGGAGCACCCCTGGCGGAGACCGCCTCTTCCGCTCCCCACCTGGCCCTGCCCTCTGCTTCCCGGACCCATTTTCCCTCCCATGCGCACGGATCCTCAGCAAATATTTAATTAATAAGGTCACAATCTTGGAGTCATTCATGATTCTTCTACTTTCCCATACTTCGCATCTACATCATAAGTAAGGACTGTTGGCTCTACCTTCAGAATTTAAACAGCATCTGATCATTTTTCAACCACTTCCTAGGCTATTAGGCTGCTCCTCCCTAGATGACTTCAGCAGCCTTCCTTCTGGTTCACCTGCTTCCACTTTCTCTTTTCTGTTTAATTGAACTGAAATTCACATAACATAAAATTAACTATCTTTTAAGGTTTTTTTTTTTAATGTTTTCTTTATTTCTTTTTTTTTTTTATATTTTTATTTATTTATAGGAGAGAGAGAGAGACAGCATGAGCAGGGGAGGGTCAGAGAGAGGAGACACAGAATCTGAAGCAGGCTCCAGGCTCTGAGCTAGCTGTCAGCACAGAGCCCTACGTGGGGCTTGAACCCACAAACTGTGAGATCATGACCTGAGCCAAAGTCGGACATTCAACCAACTGAGCCACCCAGGCACCCCCAAATTAACTATTTTTAAATGAACGATTCAGTGACATTTATAGTACATTCACACATCTAGTTCAACCATCTTTATCCTTCCCAAAGGGAATACCATAACCATTCCCTGCTTCCTTCTTACAGCAGCCAGAGTGATCTTGTTAAAATGCCGATCAGATCATGGCACTGCCCTGCTCTCAGACCTCCACTAGCCCACTGCGTCACTTAGACTGAAGCCCAGACTCCTCACCCTTATGTCATCTGCTCCTGGTGGCTTCTCTGATCTTCCCTCGCATCCTCCAGCCTTCCCGTTGTTCCCCAGGAAACTCTGCTCTCTCAGTTTGCTGTGCCTGTGAAGGATGCGCGCGCGCGTGCATGCACATGCACACACACACACACACACACACACACACACACACACCCAGGTGGCTCCCGCTGGCTCCTTCAGTTCGCTCTGGTCTTCCTCAGCAAGCCCTTCCTGGCCACGCCAGTCCACTGCCACACCTCTGGCACCCCACGTGCACTGTTTTTTTTATGGTCTTTTTACTAGTTGGACATACCTTGACCCTTCTCTTTCAAAAATGTCTGCTCCAGGGGCGCCTGGGTGGCTTAGTCGGTTAAGCGTCCGACTTTCGCTTAGGTCATGATCTCGCAGTTCGTGGGTTCGAGCCCCGCGTCGGGCTCTGTGCTGACTGCCAGCTCAGAGCCTGGAGCCTGTTTCAGTCAGTGACTCCCTCTCTCTCTGACCCTCCCCCGCTCACGCTGTCTCTCTCTCTCTCCTAGAAATAAATAAAACATTAAAAAAATATATATATATATCTGCTCCGTGCAGACGGGCCTTCTGTGTACTGTGGGCCACTGTACCCCAGGGCCCAGAGCAGTGTTGGCACGTAGGGGGAGCTGAATGCATATTGGTCGAACAAAAATTTCATCACAGTAGTGACCACGTGGCACGTGTCTGCCCCGCCCTGGGTTACAGCCTCGCCTCTGTTTTCACCTGTCATCTTCACAGCAGCCTTGGCGCTGTTACCCTCCTTTTACGGAAAGGAAACGGAGGCTTCCCAAGGACAAAGTGATTTGTTCAAGCTAAGTCATTTGTTCCTTCAGCATTTACTCAGCGCTCTGTGGCTCAGGAAACAAAATAGCCTGTTTTCTGTTTGTCAGGCGCCGTACTAAATGCTTTACCTAGTTACCTACTTTGATCCCCAAAACAACACCATGGATTAGTTATCTGGCCCATTTACCTCAAAACTGTGACTCAGAGAGGTGAAGTGAGTTTCTTAAGGTCACACAGCCAGTTGTGGCAGGGCTGGGATTTTAACCCATATGTGTAATGCCATTGCCCAGACTCATAATCTCCACCTTTTAATGGGAGAGTTTATGGTAAATTTCCCGAGTTTGCAGAAAAACTGTATGTTCAACAGGTATGTGCCAGGCATCTGTGTCAGGCTGTAGGAGTACCACAGTGACTCCGTACAGATACCGTCTCTGCCCTGATGCAGCTGGCAGTTGAGTTTCATGGTTTTGGTTTTGGTTTTGGTGTTTTTTTTTTTTACTGACTAGCTTAATATTTAACTTCACATTGTAGAATGTTGTGAAAATTACATTCGCGACCTAAGCTCTAGGTGTGGCCTTCCTGAAGTTTTTAGTTCATCGAACAAATAATGTATTTCATTCTTCAACAGAAAATGAGGCTCTGGTAGGACTGACTTTGAAAGGGTCCCCCGATTTCAGAGCCCCCAGATTGAGGTAGACAAATTAGTGAACAAGACCAGTGATCACAGAAAGCGAAGTGCTTGAAAGTAATGCCAGCCTGTATTTACGGACACTTTCTATCCTGTTCTAAGTACTTTACAAGTATTGTTGCGGTGTTCACAGCAAGCTGTGAGGTAAGTAGTATCCTAAGTGAGACAGCCAGCTTGGCCAGATTCACACCGTTGTCTGGCGGCGCCGCCCCTGACAGGGACAGCGGAGCCCTAATGGAGTAGAAGAGTGGGATTTGCAGCACTAACCTAGAGAGGGTTCATGGGTGGCTGGTTGAAGATGTCAAGAATTGTTTGCTGACAGACAAGACAGGTGCAGTCCCTGACCTTGCCCCACCTCCACTCCAGGCTCCTGACATTGACCCTGATTTCCCTTTCCTTGTGGACCCAAGGCTCCCATCGCTTGCCCAAAGAACCACCTTGCCCTTGCTCTTTTTCCTCCGCCCCCCCAGCAAACGAGACATCGAGTTGCTGCTAAAACTGATTGCGAACCTCAACATGCTCCTGAGGGATGAGAATGTGAATGTGGTGAAGAAGGCCATCCTCACCATGACCCAGCTCTACAAAGTGGCCCTGCAGGTAAGCGCTGCCTCCCACCTGGGGGCATCCCGAACTGACGGGCCTCGTTTATAGTCTCATTGGTAAGACAGAGATAGCTCTGGCAAACCAGGGACAGGGCAAATTCTTTATGGCAAGATGTGCTGTTGATCTTTGGGATAAGACAACAAAGAGGTCTGATGTCCTAATGGTCAGAGAATCCCCACTCATCCATCCATCCATGGACTTAACAAACATTCAAACATTCCCTGAGTACTTCTGTGACTTAGAGGGGCCTCGGTGCTACTTATGGCCTAGTGAGAGAGACCAACTCGTGCCAAAAGAATCGCAGAAATTTTAATTTTGGATCGTAGTAAGTTCTGTAAGGAAAAGAACACCCTGTGGTGTGGTGTTCTTTAGCATTAGTGAAATAAATGAATCCATTTGGTCTCTGCTGCCATGTCATGAGGTCAGCATTGTCCCTTTGTCGTAAGATCTGAGCCTCTTCGCTCTGGGTTGTTACCGTGCACGAACCTCCTGAGGTTCTAGAGGTGGAACCAGACCTGTCGTGGTCATCACCGGGTCTTGTCCCCACTATCATCTAGCACAGGGCCCAGGGCCGAGTTGTGGTTTGGTAAATGTTTTCCAAATGAATATATCCACCATCATTTATGGATCTCTGAGTAGTGATGGAGTGGGCGATGTCTTGTGCCCATCTCTCTGTCTCTGTTCCTCCCTGGCCTGCTCGCAGTGGATGGTGAAGTCGCGAGTCATCAGCGAGCTCCAGGAGGCCTGCTGGGACATGGTGTCTGCCATGGCTGGTGACATCATTCTCCTGTTGGATTCTGACAATGATGGCATCCGCACCCATGCCATCAAGTTTGTGGAGGGCCTCATCGTCACCCTGTCGCCCCGCATGGCTGACTCGGAGGTGCCCCGACGCCAGGAGCATGACATCAGCCTCGACCGCATCCCCCGGGACCACCCCTACATCCAGTACAGTGAGTGCAACCCGTCAGCTCGTCCCATCTGTCAGTCGCTACACTGACTGCCTTCTGCCCCTCCCTCCTCCCTCATGTTCTTTCCTGGGTTTTAATTTCCAGAGACGGTGTAAGACATTGGTTAAGAGCCCAGATGCTAGGTTCAAATCCCAGCTTCAACACTTACTATGCGAACTTGGGCAAGTTGCTTCTCTCAACTTTATTTCATTTTTTGTTAAATGGGAAGTGACAGTAGTGCCCCTTTCATGGGTTTGTAGTGAGGCTCCATTAGGGTGTGAGCACTTAGTAAATGCTAGCTGGTTTTGACAGTTTTCTTTTTTTTTTCTTTTTTTTACAGTTTATTGTCAAATTAGTTTCCACATAACACTCAGTGCTCATCCCCACAAGTGCCATCCTCCATGCCCATCCCTCCTCCCCCCCACATCCATCAGTCCTCAGTTTTTGTCAGCATTCAAGAGTCTCTCACGGTTTGCCTCTCTCCCTTTCTGCCGCCATTTCCCCCTTTCTTCTCCCCCTTGTTCCTCCGTCAAGTTCCTCCTAATCCTCCTATACGTGCAAACATATGATATTTGTCCTTCTCTGCCTGACTTATTTCGCTCAGCATAACACCCTCAAGGTCAATCCATGTTGCTACACATGGCCAGATTTCATTGTTTCTCATTGCCATGTAGTGTTCCATGGTATAGATAAACCACATCTTCTTGATCCATTCATCTGTTGATGGACACTTAGGCTCTTTCCATGTTTTGGCTATTGTGGAGAGTGCTGCTGTGAACAATGGGGTACATGTGCTCCTATGCATCAGCATTTCTGTATCCCTTGGGTAAATTCCTAGCAGTGCTATTGCTGGGTCATAGGGGAGTTCTATTGTTAGTTTCCTGAGGAACCTCTACACTGTTTTCCAGAGGGGCTGTACCAGTTTACATTCCCACCAACAGTGTCAAGACAGTATGGTTTTGGCACAAAAACAGATACATAGACCAATGGAACAGAATTGAGAACTCAGAAGTGGACCCAAAACTATACAGGCAACTAATATTTGACAAAGCAGGAAAGAATATCCAATGGAAAAAAGACAGCCTTTTTAACAGATGGTGTTGGGAGAACTGGACAGCATCATGCAGAAGAATGAAACTAGATCATTTTCTCACACCAAACTCAAAATGGATAAAGGACCTGAATGTGAGACAGGAAACTATCAACACCCTAGAGGAGAAAGCAGGAAACAACCTCCTTGACCTCCACCGCAGCAACTTCTTACTTGACACATCCCCAAAGCAAGGGAATCAAGAGCAAAAATAAATGATTGGGACCTCATCAAGATTAAAAGCTTCTGCACAGCAAAGGAAACAACCCAGAAAACTAATAGGCAACCAACGGAATGGGAAAAGATAGTTGCAAATGACATATCAGATAAAGGGTTAATATCCGGAATCTATAAGGAACTCACCAAACTTCACACCCGAAAAACAAACAACCCAGTGAAGAAATGGGCAGAAAATATGGTTTTGACAGTTTTCTTAAAAGTAGGCTCCACACCCAACGTGGGGCTTGAACTCATTACCCTGAGATTAAGAGTAGCATGAGCTCTGCCAACTCAGCCAGCCAGGCGCCCCCAAATTTTTATGCTCCTTAATAGTCCATCTCCTAGGACTCATCAGCCATTAAATTTTGTTTTTTCCCAGCCATTCGGAACTATCATGTGGAAGTGTCTTTCCCCTTTTGGCCCCAAAGGCTGCTCTCTCCAGAGGCCAGGGAGAAAGACCCCTGCTAACTGGTTCCTTTCTCTCCCTCTTTAGATGTGCTGTGGGAAGAGGGCAAGGCAGCTTTGGAGCAGTTGCTCAAGTTCATGGTGCATCCCGCCATCTCCTCCATCAACCTGACCACAGCTCTGGGCTCCCTTGCCAACATCGCCCGCCAGAGGCCCATGTTCATGTCAGAGGTGATCCAGGCCTACGAAACCCTGCACGGTAGGTCAGGCCGCTCCCCTCCCCCTCTCCACTGGCCACCCTGCTCCTTCCTGAGAAAATGTGTGCCGGGTAGTGGGTTCCTGAGGGATTCATCATTCTGGTAGGTCTGGACACAGGAAGCCGCCTTCAGATAGGAATCTTTCGGTTGCATGTGACAGAAACCTCATTCAAAGCTGGCTTTTAATGTTAAGATATGTGTGAGTAAAATGAGATGATGTCTGTGAAATACTTTAAACTATTCCAGAATCTCCCATCCCCACCAAAAAAAAAAAAAAAGAAGGCGGGATAGATGTGTTGATGGGAACTTGGTTATTTGTTATGCTCTTCTCTCTACTTTTGTGTGTGTATGAAAACCAAAATGGCCGGGATTGAGGTATGAATATGTACAGATCATGGGTCTGTCTCCATTCCTTGGCTCTTATTCTCTCCTTGTTGGCTTTCTTATGTGTCACTTTCCTTGGGGTAGCAAAGATGGCCCCCAGCAGCTCCAGGCTTCCATTCTGTCCACTTGGTAACCCCAGGGGACAGAGTGTTTCCTTCCGAGTCATTCCATCGAAAGTCCAAGGGTTGATGTCCATTGTTCCTGATTGGCTGAGATGACCTCGGTAACCCATCTCTGTACCAATCACCGTGCCCAAGGGGTTCTTACTGTTCTTACTGGCTGTGGGTCTTTGTCCACTTGGACTAAGACTGGAGCCGGGGGGGTTCCCTCAAAGGAAAATGGGAGCACCGTTAGCTGATGAAGGAGGGAAGGGTGCTGAGCAAGCAGAATTACAGGCATCCTCTTTCTCTCTAGAACAGGGAAGGTTTGCTCACGAAGGTGACTGTTAGACGTTAGATTATCATTCTGGTGGCCGGGACTGACAAGGCACTGTTGACGGCATTTCAGTTGGGACGTTGTGGAGGCGAAGTTGGTGATGACAGCCTTCCCCGGGGAGGCATATTGGAATTTCCAGGCCAGAGATGGAAGGAGATGAGACTTTACCTTTAATAGAAGAGAGGGCGAGATTTCTTTTCGTTTTAAGGTTGACTACTCCCGATGGAGACCTCTTGAGGGTTTTAAGCATCAGCTTGTGCAGGGGGAAGGCTGCACATTAGATCTGAGAGCCAAGGAAGCTTTCTAGGGGGCACCTGCAACCGCTGCCCAAGCCAGGGGCTCGGGAAGTGAGATTTGCAGGGCCCCATAAGCTCTGTCCACAGGACAACGCTCCTGCTTCTTTCCTCACAGCCAACCTGCCCCCTACGCTGGCCAAATCTCAGGTGAGCAGTGTGCGCAAGAACCTCAAGTTACACCTGTTGAATGTGCTGAAGCACCCAGCCTCCTTGGAATTTCAGGCCCAGATTACCACCCTGCTGGTGGACCTAGGCACACCTCAGGCTGAGATTGCCCGCAATATGCCCAGTGCCAAGGATGCCCGCAAGCGGCCCCGGGACGACTCGGATTCCACACTCAAGAAGATGAAGCTTGGTGAGCCGGGAAGCTGAGCCATTATGTTAAGCTGTCAGTGTTGTTTTATTAGTTAATATTTTATTGTAAATCATAGCATTTAAATATGACATACCAAATGAGATCAAAATAGAATAATTAAAGTACGTAACATACCTAAAAGTATTTATGAAATACTTAAATCGTACAGAAAGTGAATAAAATGAAAAGTCTCACTTTTGTTCCTCTCCCCAAAAATAACCACTCCCTAAGTATTAGCACTTAGGCTTTCTTTCAGAAATACCTCGGAGTTCTCCTTTTCCTTTGTTTCCTTTATAATTGGATTTGTTGGGGCGCCTGGGTGGCTCAGTTGGTTAAGCATCCGACTTCGGCTCAGGTCATGATTCACGGTTCGTGGGTTCAAGCCCTGCGTCAGGCTCTGTGCTGACAGCTCAGAGCCTAGAGCCTGCTTCAGATTCTGTATCTCCCTCTCTCTCGGACCCTCCTCTGATCACGCTGTCTCTCTCTCTCAGAAATAAATTAAAAAAAAATTTTTTTAATAAAAAATAAATAATACTTTCCTTTTTAACAATGTTCAGTTCTAGAATCTTTAAGAAATAATTAGATTTTTTTTTTTTTAAGTAGGCTCCACGCCCAGCATGGGGCTTGAACTCACAACCCTGGGATCAAGAGTCAGATGCTTTACTGACTAGAGCTAGCCAGCTGCCCCAAGAACTAGATTTTTAACATTGTTATTTTACTTTTTTTTTTTTTTTAAAGTAGGCTTCACACCCCAGCGTGGAGCCCACTGTGGGGCTTGAACTCACAACTCTGAGATCAAGACCTGAGCTGAGATCAAGAGTCGGGTGCTTAACCAACTGGGAGCCACCCAGGCGCCCCTACTTTCTATTTTAAAATATAGGGGATTTATCTTGATATAAGGAGTGAGGTGGAGATCTATTTTCCCCATAACTCAGCACGCAAAGCAGAGTGTTCAATATCTGAACTTGTTAAGTAATCGTCTTAGAGCTCTTTCTCTGTCTGCACATAGGAACCTGTTGTAGCCTTTTAAGGGTGATGTGATACTCTAGTGCACGTAGATTGCTTTGCCCAGTCCTCTTGTCGATGGACATTTTATCTGTGTCTTTTTTTTTTTTTCTGAGCTTCAAGATTGCTATAGTACGAGAGTCTTGAGTGCGTGTCCAAGCTGTAGGACAGGTTTCTAGTAGTGGGATTAGTGAGACAGAAGGTTTGTGCATGTAAAGCGATTTTTTGCCCGTCACTTTTATTGTTCTGTTTCTTTAAACATGTTCTTTTGAAGCAGTTTTGCCCCTGCAGACGGGTCACATGAATAGCACTGAGAATTCCTGCGTGCCCCTGGCAAGGCGAGAATCACACACTGCGCTTGGGGGCCGCGACCCTTAGCCTCCCTAATCAGCTCCTCAGCCTTCCTCTGTTTCGTGACCTTGATGTTGTTAAGAGTCCAGGACAGCTGTTTGGTGAAATGTCCCTCTGGGTTTGTCTGCTCTCGCCTTCTGATTGGGTTCAGGTTCTGCACTTTGGGCAGGAATGTCCCTGAAGTGACGATGCCCTGCCCACCCGCGTGTGGTCTCGGAGGACGCATGGTATCAGCGTGTCCCACTGGTGGTAATACGAACTTGATCATTTGTTTGAAATGGTGTTGACCAGGTTTCTCTGGTATAAAGTGCACTTTTCCCTTTTAATTTTTTTAATGTTTATTCATTTTTGAGAGAGAAACAGAGCATGAGCAGGGGAGGGTCAGAGAGAGGGAGACACAGATTCCAAAGCAGGCTCCAGGCTCTGAGCTGTCAGCACGGAGCCTGATGCGGGCCTCGAACCCACGAACTGTGAGATCACAACCTGAGTCGAAGTTGAACGCTCAACCGACTGAGCCACCCAGGAGCCCCACGTTCCAAGCAGGCTTCACACTTGTCCGCGTGGAGCCCAGTTGCAGGGCTTGAACTCTCAAACTGTGAGATCATGACCTGAGCTGAAACCAAGAGTCAGATGCTTACCTAACTGAGCCCCGCAGGTGCCCCCTTTCCCCTTTGTAAATACTAAGTTGAAGGAGGGACTTGTACTGTGTACAATACCTGTTCCCCTTCAAATTTTGACTCCATGGCTTTAACATGGAGTCATCTTTTGATAATTGTTGCCTGCATCTGTTATTGCTAGAATGGTTAGGAGATTTCCTTTTGCATTTAGTAGTCGGCATTCCATAAGAAAGAGCTTTCCTCACCCTACTTTAATATCAGTTGGACTTGTAGATTCTTACTTCTTGTCTGGGTTGTAATCCATTATTGTCGTTACTCATCGCGCCTCATATTTAGCCAGCGGGAGCCGTAGAGTTGGCTCCGATGTTCCTTTAACGTGTCCCACAAGCTTTTTTGAGCATTTTTTACTTTCTGGCCTGACAAGATGTTCTAGACTTTACTTTACCCCAGCTCTGGAATCAGCCTTTTCTCTAAGGAGCTCTGGATTCTTTTAAGTAGGGAGTACTTTCAGAAACTAAGATCTGAGCACTGGGTGTGCCCATTGCTACCGGGCGCATGGAAATTCTTGACAGCCCCTGCCAAACTGTTTCCCAAAACAGTTGTGCACCTCGTACACAATCCCAGCAGCGTGCGAATGCCAGTCACCACACTCGCTCAGACCTCAGTGTTCTATAAACCGCCTGGGCGTTAACAGTATCCTGGGTTTAGATTTGCTTTCTTACACATGTTGGAGTCAGACCGGGAGTCCCTTTAAACTTCTTAGCCATTCATCAGCCATTCGCATGTCTGGGAGGTGCCTATTCTGTTTGACATTTTGTAACTGAATTGCACATACCCTTGCCCTTGGTTAATACAGATTATCAGCTTTTTGTTAACGCTGTTGCAGACTTTTTTTTAAAGGCCACATAACAGCGGCACCTGGCAGTCTCCATCAGTAGAGCGCAGCCATGCTTGACTATGGGGTTGTGAGGCAAAGTCGGACGCCCCACTGGCCAAGCCACCTAAGCGCCTCCAAAGATAGAGGGTTTTAAACAAGCTCGGTGAGAGGCACCTGGGTGGCTCAGTTGGTTAAGTGTCCAACTTTGGTTCAGGTCGCGATCCCATGGTTCGTGGGTTCAAGCCCCGCGTCGGGCTCTGTGCTGACTGCCAACTCAGAGCCTGGAGCCTGTTTCAGATTCTGTGTCTCCCTCTCTCTCTGACCCTCCCCTGTTCACGCCGTGTCTCTCTCTCTCTCTTAGAAATAAATAAAACATTAAAAATGTTTAAAAAATAAAATAAAATAAACAAGCTCGGTGAAATTATTAGTTAACCTTTTCATCTTGGAGTTTAGTGTGATCGGCTGGGCTGGTGTGGCTTATTCCCATTTCCCAGATGAGGAGGATGAGACCTAAAGAGAGGCAGGTGGTTCCACAGGGTCATGTGGTGCCGCAGCCACCTGGAGGCAGGGACCCCCGGGCCCCCTGGGCGGAGGGGGGGCCCGCTGCTCGCTCTAGCACCAGCATCTCCTCTCCTTCCCTCTCCCAGAGCCCAACCTGGGGGAAGACGACGAGGACAAGGACTTGGAGCCGGGCCCGTCGGGGACCTCGAAGGCCTCAGCCCAGATCTCAGGCCAGTCAGACACGGACATCACGGCCGAGTTCCTGCAGCCTCTACTGACACCTGACAACGTGGCCAATCTGGTGAGGATGGGTGGGGGCCGTTTCCCACGGGGCGGGGAGGGCGGCTTAGTCTTTCCCTACCCTTCCACTGCGCGCTGCCCCTCCCCCAGATGCCTTAGTCCCATGGGCCCTCTCAACCTTGGATGGACTTTTCTCCGATCTTTTCTCCTTTGGGAGCTCCCTGTCACCACCCCCAGCAGTCCCTCCCGGGGTAGTCTGAGTCCCCGTCCAAACCCATCCCCTCTCGCTCTCTCCTCTCCTCTGAATGGAGGGTTTATGAACTGGGGAGCAAACCCCACGACTTGTATGCTCCACGCTGGAAGAACTGCTGGTTGGAGTTGACGGGCGCAGGGGTGCGTGTCTCCCCTCAGTCCTCAGGCTGTAGCGGCACGGGGAGCTTGCTGTCGGGGGCTCCTGCAGCCCCCCCCAGCCTTCCCTGCTCTCTGCCCAGAGGCTCCAGGAGGCTTCGTTGTTGGGGGCATGGATGGAATTTTTGTCACCAGGGTAGCGAGAGGGAGTTCTCTGCCGCACTGAGATCTCTCTGGCGAGCTCCAGGCCTGCGCATCGTTCTCCCTCACATGCTCCACAGGCCCCGCAGACCCGTCACATCAGGACTGAACTGGCACAGTGTCTCCCTGTGCTCCTCCCCGGGCCCGCGGCCCCCTCTGGTTCCTGGCACACCGGCCTCCCGGTTCCCAACCCACGAAACTGGGAGTTAAGCTCTTTGCCTTTCCTCCAGCCCTTCCCCGTCTTCTCCATCACCTCCCCCACCCCCACCCCTGCCTGGCCCAGGTACCACCTGCTGGTCCCTGGCTCTGGCTTCCACGCTCCCTGCCGCAGCCAGGGGCATCTTCCTGAAGTGCGGGACCCGCCGCTCCCCTGGTTCCCTGCTCCAGCCCCCGCCAGGGCTCCCCATTCCTTCCAGATTAGATTCGAAGGCAGCTCATCTTGGGCTCTGCCTGATTATGCTTCCGTTGAGTCGGTGTGCCCCGTCTGTCCCCTTCACATCTGGGAAGTTGTCCTTTTGAAATTATCGGCTGAAAGCTCTTCACAGGAGTCTTTAACTTTGGTAGTACGTGCGCCGTTTGTCAGGCGCGTAGCGTTTTGGCCCCTGACGTCTTCCTACTCTCTGTTGTCTCTCGTCAGTCTTCCCATCAGTTTGCTTGTTTTCAGTCATTTCAAAGAACTGGCTCTGAACTTTTGTTGATACTCTTGTGTAACCTTTTTGGTTTTATTGCTCTTGTCTTTCTTTCTTTCCTGCTGCTTCCCTTGAATATTTTACCCTCTCGAGTTTTAAGTTAAACGCTTGGGTTAAAAGTTTTCAGCCATCTTCCCTCCGCCCCCAAACAGTTAAGGATTGATTTTCCATTTAAGTAACAGTTTAGCTGCATCCCACACGCTTTGATTTGTAGTTGTTTCAGTATCTCTCTGTTCTAATCATCTTATTATTTCGGGAATACATTTAAACTTCTAAGCATGTAGGGAGTTTCACGTTACCTCTTGTTACCAGCTCCTGACCAAAATGGATGAGCTCTTGTTAGGATTTGGATTTTTCTTTAACCTATTTTTTCAAATATTTATTTTTGAGAGAGGGAGAGAGAGGGAAAGATCATGCGCGCACACAGGTGACGGGCAGAGAGAAAGGGAGACGGCGAATCCCACGCTGGCTCTGTGCTGTCAGCGGAAAGCCTGATCTGGGGCTCAAACTCCAAACTCAGGTTCTGTGAGATCATGACCTGAGCCAAAATCTAGAGTCAGATGCTAGATCAACTGAGCCTCCCAGGTGCCCCAGTGGATTTTCTTAAAGTCAATTTCTGGTTCATATAACATTCTTCATGGAACTTCCAGTCTCTGGGCAGGATTCTGCTGCTCCTGTACCTGGAATACACACCCCCTGCCACTGAGAGATGTCCCTCTGTGCCCGTCTGGAACTTGCCCTCCTCTCAGGGCTCAGCCTAGGTGCCGCTTCCCCAGGGAGCCAAAGCCGCCCCTGGCCCTGAGGCGTCTCATGGCACCCACTACTTCCCTCGCTCGTGCACGATGCTGCATCTTTGCTCGTTTTCTCTCTGACTTCCCTGGGAGTCTGAGCCCCCTGAGAGCAGGCCCAGGACTGTGTTAGTCACTGTCCTTTGCCCCGCCTTGGCCCGGGCGTGGAGTAGATGCTTGTCGTGTCCGTAAGGAGGGCCCCTCTCCCTGGACGTCTTGCAGGTCCTCATCAGTATGGTGTACCTGCCCGAGGCCATGCCCGCCTCCTTCCAAGCCATCTACACCCCGGTGGAGTCAGCAGGCACCGAAGCCCAGATCAAGCACCTGGCTCGGCTCATGGCCACACAGATGACGGCTGCGGGACTGGGGCCAGGTGAGTGTCGTGCGGAGCTGACCTGGGAGGGGGTTGGCACTGTGGGTGCCAGCCTCTCCTTGCTGGAGGAGCTCCTTGGTGGTGGTACAAATGAAACTCACAGGAGACGTCAGCTGTACATAGTCAACAAGTCCCATAGAACATGGAGTGCTTGAGATTTTCAGGCCCTGGGCTTTGAATCCCGCAGACCTGGGTGTGAGGTCTGAGTCGAGCCAGACTGCCTCAGGCACTGAATAGCTGTGTAACTTTGGTCACGTTACTTAACCTCTCTGAGACTCAGGTGTTTTCCTACATTAACAGTCCTAGTGAGGTATCAATTATGTACAGAGAGACACAGCTCTGAACTGTACATCTTCGTGGATTTTCATAAAGTGAACATCCCGGTGTAGTCACCATCCAGATATAGATAGGGACCGTTTCCACAACTCCAGGACATTCCTTCCTGCTCCCACCAGTCAGCACTCTGGCATCCCGCTTCCTGAGATCATCACTCTTCTGATTCCTGTCTCCATAGATTAATTTTTCCTAGTCCTGAATTTCACATAAAATGGGATCATAGAGAGTGTGGCTCCTGCCCGACATAAGTTGCTGAGAGCTGCGTCCATGTTGTCGTGGGGCCCAGCAGTTCGTTTGGGTTGCGCAGTAGTATTTGCTTCCACGCCTGGGCCGTCACCTATCTGTCCGCACTCCTGTTGATGGGCTTGGGGCTTGTGTCTAGCTTCTGGCCACTGTGATTGAAGCTGTATGGATGTTTGTGTACAAGTGTTTTTGGTCGGTTGTTTGGGCTGGGGAGAGGGGAGTGGAGCTTTCTTGTGTGTTTGAGCGTAGTTGGTGTGTGTGTTTGGTCTACGCACGCTCTCATTCTCCTAGAGTATCCATACCGAGGAGTGGGATTGTTGGGTCATAGGTTAGGGTGCGTGCGGTGCTATTAGAAACCGCCCATCGGTTCCAAAGCGGCTGTGCCGTTTGAAACTCTCACCAGCAGTAAATGGCATTTCTAGTTTGAGCCTGGGTTGTATTGCCAAATGGGAATGAAAAGTGTGCCTGTTCCAGAATGGTGTTTTGCAGATTTATACAAGGCTTAAAATAGAGCCCAGCACACAGGAGGTCCTTGGGTGGGAACAGGTAGGTGGGACATTCCTGAAGCCCGTGTGCTCACCCCCCTCTCAGGTGTGGAGCAGACCAAGCAGTGCAAGGAGGAGCCCAAGGAGGAAAAGGTGGTGAAGCCTGAGAGTGTCCTGATTAAGCGACGCCTGTCGGCTCAGGGCCAGGCCATCTCGGTGGTGGGCTCCCTGAGCTCCATGTCTGCTCTGGAGGAAGAGGCACCCCAGGCCAAGAGGAGGCCAGAGCCCATCATCCCTGTCACGCAGCCCCGGTGAGTTCCCTGGTCTGTGCAGGTGCAGGACTGGGGGCCTGGTGCTTGGTGCTGGCACGCACACGTGTGTGCACGCACGTGTGTTAGAGACAGACACAGGTGAACTGGTGGGGCTGGACGACAATCTGTCTGATTCCTGAGTCAGTGCCATAGCCACCAAGCCTTAACTGTCGTTTGCTTTTACGTAAAAATGCCCCTTACTTAGATCTAAAGTTGGAATGATAGATAGTATCTCTCTCCAAGGGTCGAGGGAGAATTAAGTGGGTTCACAGTGATGGTTTAATGATTAAATTCAGTGACTCTTGAGGTTGGAAGTGACCGTGAGATGAAGTATTTAGCCTGATTCCTAACAGGTAGTAAGTGCTTCTGGTTGCCGTCTTCCCACTCTCCTCATCGCTATCCCCCTTACAGACTACAAAAGCCAGCCAGTCTCTGCCCATCCCCAGCCCTGATGTGCTTCCTGGGTCACGCCTGGCCTGCGCTCCGAGCTCTCCCTTCCCCTCGCTCCCTCCTGCAGTCACCCCGGCCTCGGCCTCGCGCGTGGCCAGGCAGGGCCTCCTCTGGAAGCAGCAGGTCCCACCGGAAGGCCTTGGCGCTTCCTGCTCTCTCCACCTGGAAAGCCCATCCTCCAGATAGTTGTGCATCTTGTCCCCTCGCCTCATTCAGATCTGCACTCCCGCCTTGCCGCCTCCTAGAAGCGTTCCCTTTACACGCTTTACAGAGACAGAACGGCACCCTCGTCTTTCTCCTTCCCTGCGCCCCGCCCTGCCGTGGCTGAGTCACAGGAGGGTTAGAGAGGCAGCATGGTGGGGGCTGGGAGGGGGAATGGGGGTCTCCATCCAGCCCCTGGTGGGCCTGTGCTCCAGAAAGGATGTTTTGAGTCACCATGCCCCTGTCCCTACTCCCCCATGTAGGCTGGCGGGCGCTGGCGGGCGCAAGAAAATCTTCCGTCTGAGTGATGTGCTGAAGCCTCTGACCGACGCCCAGGTTGAGGCTATGAAGCTGGGCGCCGTGAAGCGGATCCTCCGGGCAGAGAAGGCCGTGGCCTGTAGCGGGGCGGCCCAGGTGTGGCCTGGTCCCCCCAGCCCCGCCTTCCCCCCCCACCTCCCCACCCCTGCCCTGCCTTAGATCCTGGGAAAGACATGGCCTTAGGCCCAAAGCTCCCTGGCTCCAGGTCCCACCTGTGCCGCCCGCCAGGCCTCCATGCCTCGCTTCTGTCCCCCTCCTTAAGATGGAGGTGGCGGCGACAGTGAGGAGGAAGAAACGCGTGGACACGCACGCCTCTCGCCCAGCACGGGGCTGGCAGCACGGGAGAGCCCTGCACGTGAGGGCGCCGCTGTGTTCTTCCTTCCTGGTGGTTAATGGTGCTCTTGTTCTTACTTCGACTCAGACACCTGCTCGAAATCCTGACTCTGCCGCTTGCTGGCATTGTAACCTCAGCCAGGTGACTTTTCCCCATTTCTTTAAGTTTAATTCTAAATAACCAAGAAGCACATAAGAGTACTCTCTCTGTTAAAAAAAAAAAAAAAAAAAAGATTTCCAGGCCAGAGAGGTACCACGTCAGTCTTCCTTGGCCTCCACATGCCTCCGCTCTCCCCTCCTCCGGCGTGACCATGTACAAATTAGGGGAAGCCTTCTGATCTCTTTCTGTGTACTCACGCCTTTTACAAACTCAGTTTTATCTTGTGATGATTGATCCGCACCCCAGCCCTCCCCCCACCTTGTTTTTCCTCCCACGCAAATGAGGCCTGCGGGGTCGCAGGTTCTCCAGCTGGCCTTCCTCACTAACACTGGGTCTGCAGCGGGCGTCCCTGAGCAGGAAGACTCACCACCCGACCGCAAGGTGCCTGGGACCGCCCACCCCCACGCCAACACATCCACCCGCTCTCCTGCCAGGTGCGCGTAAAGATCCTGGCCAGTCTGGTGACACAGTTTGACTCGGGCCTGAAGGCCGAGGTCTTGTCCTTCATCCTGGAGGATGTGCGGGCCCGCCTGGACTTGGCCTTCGCCTGGCTCTACCAGGAGTACAATGCCTACCTGGCAGCCGGTGCCTCGGGCAGCCTGGACAAGTACGAGGACTGCCTTATCCGCCTGCTCTCCGGCCTGCAGGAGAAGCCAGACCAGAAGGATGGGTGAGGGAGACAGCCCTGCGCTCTCCTGGGTCCTGCCTTTTCTGGTTTCTGACCACCTCCCTCGCCACCACCCGAGTCCGCGTACCCATCGCGAGACTCCTTGTCTCCCTGCTTGCTGGCCGCACGTGCGAGGCAGGCGCGCTCCCTGGGCTCGTCCCGGCTCTGCTGCTTGCCCTCCTAGCGGCCTCGCCCTCCGAGCCTCCGTTTTTATAAATAGCAGCGCCTGCCTCGGGGGCTTGTACCGGAGGTGGGCCTCTCTCCAGCCCCGTCTCTCTCGCCTGAATTGCTTCTGTAGCTTCCTCCTTGTCCTCCACCTCCTGCTTATCTGTCCCTTCTCCACACAGCAGCCCGGCTGACATTTTATAATGTAAATACGCTCTTGTGATTTACCCACTAAAAACCCTCCATGATTCTCTGTTGCCCTTGGGATAAAGTGCAGCCTTTTTTCTGTGCCTCATGAGACCAGCGTGATCCAGTTCCCACCAACCTCCTTCCTTCTTTCTCTGCCCCCTACTCCTCACCGCCCCCAAACCGTAGCCACACTCACCTTCTGTTTCTCACTTTTGAACATGCCAAGTTCAGGGCTTAGCAGTTCCTGCTTCTGTACCTGGAATGCTCCCCCTCTACCCCCACCATGGGTGGCTCTTTCTCCCCCTCGCAATGTCAACTCATGGTCACCTCAAAGCAGCCACTTTTGGCCACCACATCTGTAAGGCAGTCCCCATCCCCAGTCCCCATCATTCCCCTGCCTTCCATTACTGTGGTAAATGAGTAATGTTAGGAATCCTCGTTTGGCAGAAGGGAGAAACCGACTTCCAGAGAGGTAGGTTGCCCAGCTGGCAGTGTTCGAATCCTGCTCCGTTTACCTCGAGAGCTCGGTAGCCAGGGGGTTGGGCAAGCTGTGTGTGAGGGGCAGCCCTGCCCGCTCACAGGACCGGGAAGCTTCTCTGCAGCCCCTCCCCTCCCTTCCTCCCTGGCAGGGTCTTCACTAAGGTGGTGCTGGAGGCGCCGCTGATCACCGAGAGCGCCCTGGAGGTGATTCGCAAGTACTGCGAGGATGAGGTGAGGAGCCCCCAGCACATCGCACCTCGATAGGTGCCTGCTGGAGGTGGGGACAGGGACCTGGAGAGACGGGGCACACAGCTTAGACCTGGTGGCAGGGGAGTCTGTGAGGGACCGGGTCCTTTTCCGGCCAGGGTTGGATCTGCGGGGGGCAGTCCCCCCGGCACGCTGCAGCGCGTCCAGCCCACTTTCCCTCCCTCCTGCCACAGAGTCGCACTTATCTGGGCATGTCCACTCTCCGAGACCTGATCTTCAAGCGCCCAGCCCGCCAGTTCCAGTACCTGCATGTTCTGCTCGACCTCAGCTCCCACGAGAAGGACAAGGTGATCCCTGCCACCCAGAGCGGGGCTGCACTCAGCCCTCCCTGTGTCTGAGGCGCCGGCCCGGCCTCTTCCACATTCCCCCTGAAGGTCCTGCCTGGGCCTGGCCCCCTTCCTGCAGTAGTGTGTTGCTGGTGGCTAGGCTTCCGTGTGTAGTGGCACGAGGCTGCTTAGATATACACACGTATTTACACACCCCTCCTCCCTGGAAGGGTCCCATTCTCCCTCTTAACGCCACCTGTGTTGGGGAGCCCCTTTTAAGGCTTGCTGCTATGCTGGGACCTAGTGGGGGTGCTGGCAGGAGAGGAGCCGCTCATCGGCTCCGGCAAGGACACCGCTCATGGAGCAGAGTGGCATTAGAGGAGCACAGGCAGCTGTGGGCGTCCTGGGGCGGGGCCTGGCCTACCTGATGGGGGGATGGGCAGGGGCAGGCGTTAAGGCTTCTGCAGGAGGGAGCAGGTGAGCCTGAAATCTAAGCAGCTAGGTGTAACTGAACAGAGGAAAGAAGGTGTGTGTATGCGTACGATTGAGAGGGCCCCTGACTAGTTCCTGCTCCAACCGGTGTTTCGTCAGTTCCTTTCCTGGGGTCCTGTGTCCATTCATTGAGCACACCCTCACTGTAGACTCTGCCTCGGCCCTTCGGTACTGCTGGGGACAGAGCAGTGCCCGAGAACAGTCCCTGCCCTCAGGGCTCCCCACAGGCAGTGTCCGAGTAAAATCGGGCCAATGACGAGCATTCTGGGCAGCGAGAACCTTTTGTGCCAAGTCTCAAAGCCAGGGAGAACGCTGTCACTTTTGAGGAACTGAGGAAGCTCATTCTGGTTGGAGTGTAGCGAGCAAGGCAAGAAACAGAAAGAGAGAGGGCTGGGTAGGTAGATGGAGGGCTGATGCCGGGCCCTGACCTGGGCCAGGAAACGTCTCTTCCACGCCGGTGAGCAGCCTGGGGCATAGGTAACTGAGGGAGGTTAGGCCCTTCTCGGTCTTGGGCTTGTTTTCCCACCGGCACTGCCAGGCTCAGTACAGCGGTCCCCCCCCACCCCACCGTCTCCTCAGGTGCGTTCCCAGGCCCTGCTCTTCATCAAACGCATGTACGAGAAGGAGCAGCTCCGGGAGTATGTGGAGAAATTTGCCCTCAACTACCTGCAGCTCCTGGTCCACCCCAACCCGCCATCTGTGCTCTTTGGAGCCGACAAGGATACAGGTTTGCCGCGGCTTCATCAGATGCGTGTTGAGCACCTGCTGAACTGCAGGCTCCAGGCTGGGCCCTGGGAACAGAGCCGGGTGGGAACTGAGCACTGTTCAGCCTACTAGGGAAGACAGCCAGGCAGTAAGAACCAGAACGAGCAGTCCTGGGGGCTGCAGGAAGAGGGGCGTCTGACCCCAGCCAGGGTCAGGGAGAGCGCCCTGGAGCAGGGCATGGCTGGGCTGAGAGCCAGAGGACAAGGAGAGCTAGCCTGCGATGGCGCTCTGGGAAGGCCAGACAGGTCATCACGGGCCTGTTCCTTCAGCAAAACCCCGGCTCCCCCAGAATTACAGATGGGGAGGCCCAGGCCCCTGGACCATTAAATTGGAAGGTTCAGGGGCGGCTGGGTGGATCAGTTAGTGGAGCATGAGACTCTCGATCTACTTGTCGTGAGTTTAAGGCCCACGGTGGATGTAGAGCTTACTTAAAATTAAAAAAAATTTTAAGTGTATGTATTTGTTTAGAGAGAAAGAGCACAAGCATGAACGGGGGAGGGGCAGAGAGAGGGAGAAAGAATCCCAAGTAGACTGTAAGGCTCGACCTCATGAACCATGAGATCATGATCTGAGCTGAAACCAAGAGTGAGATGCTTAACCAACTGAGCCACCCAGGCGCCCGTACTTAGAATAAATTTGAAAAAAAACTGTAAGGTTCAGGTTGTGACAGGAAGCACAGGCCCTTCTGGGAGAATAGGGGCCCCTGCACAGCCCAGTGCCCTGAGGACTTCCGAGGAGAGACACTATTGCTTGAGGCCCAAAGGATGAGATACAGAGAGAGGAGGTGGGCAGCAGCAGCACTGCACGCACAGGAGCGATGTGTGCACAGGGACTTGGGGGGCTCTGAGGGGCTGTCAGAAGAGGATGTGGCCAGAGCCTAGGGCCGGGGGCCGCCCTGTACATCCTCTGGCAAGTAGAGCAAGGGGAGGCGCTGGGGACTTGTCCTGGGAGCGCCGAGCGAGAGAGGGGTGGGGTCGGAGCTTCACTTTGGAAAGATCCCTTCGGCTCTGTGGTGGAATGATGGTCAGAGACAAGGTGGGACTTCCGGTGCAGATGTTTCTCAAAGGGGAACAGTCCTGGTCCCACCCCATTTCCCTGATGATTGGCTTCCTGCCCTAGAACAGATTGCTTCCCAGGCCCTCCTCCCTTCTGTGCCACCCCCCCACCCCCAAGAAGGGACAGACACTGAGGGCGGGAGGTGGTTGGCCGGAGAGTGGTCCCTGATCCCCACCCCCTGCTCTATCAGAGGTGGCAGCGCCCTGGACTGAGGAGACAGTAAAGCAGTGTCTGTACCTCTACCTGGCCCTCCTGCCTCAGAACCACAAGCTGATCCACGAACTGGCAGCCGTGTACACTGAGGCCATCGCTGACATCAAGCGGACGGTGCTGAGGGTCATCGAGCAGCCGGTGAGGCCCCCGAGCCCGCCAGGCTCTGCCCACCCAAGGGCAGGGCTGAGGCCCCACGCCCAGCCCTTCCCCCGGAGTCTCCACCTCGGCATGTGCTGAGCACTAGCGCACTAGTGGTCGCTGCTCCTGGCTGAGCGGCTCCGTAGCGTGGGGGCGGCGCCCATGGCCCAGCCGCCAGTGAAGGGACAGCAGGGCAGCCCTGCAGGTACCGGCCTGGAGCTGGACAGACCTGGATTCGCTTTCTGCCTCTCCCTTTCCCGCTCTGCAAACTGACCCCGCTTCAGGAAGAATAGCGAGGATAAGTCCATCCTGAGCTTGCTGCACAGGGAGCCCGGGACCTGGTGCACGCAGCCATCTGTGTCACTGGTCCCGAGTACGCGCTGGCCCTCCCCTGCCCTGCCTGCGGCAGCCTGTCCTTGTCGGCACACGAGGCCCTCCCTCCTGTCTCCCCAGCTACACACCACCCCCAGGAGAAGCAGTTCCGAGTGCCTGCCCTTCCAGTTTGCAGCTGGATTTGAAACCACTTTTGTGTGGATCTCTGTCCCTGATGGATTTTTTTATTATGGAAAATTTCTAACATAAACAAAAGGAGGGGGTACAGTAATGCTAATTCCCAAATAGCCGCTCACATTCAGCCGGCTCCTCACCTGGAGCTCGGGGATAATAGCGGCTGGCCAGGAGGAAGCAGCTTCTTCAGTTTTCAAAGTGAACTTCTGGAGGCAGGGGCTGCCAGTTCCCAGATCATTATGAACATTTATTGGCAGAGGAAGGTGTGAGCCCTTGAAGCCGGGCGTGCATTCCCTGCATTTGTTGCTTCCGAGGTTGGGGCGGGCTGCAGACAGCCCGGATCTGAGCCAGCCGCTGCGCGGGGGCGCTGGCACTCACGGATGCCTTTAGAAGCCTGGGAAGTCTTCCCGGAGGAATTGGAGGGCAGGTTGGGCATTAGAGGGCGGGTTAGGTCAGAGGCGACAGCGAGAAAGGGCCCGGCCTGCTAATCAGCAGCCAGCACTGGCGAAGGCTTGGGGGCCTTGGCAAGTCTGTAGCCTGTGAGATGGGGGTAGAAGCAGCCCAGATGCTGCCCCCCTACGCCTCCCACCTCCCGCACATTTCCCCCAGTTCTTCAAGGCTTCCCCCCCAACACCGGTCACTGAGGTAAAATGGGCCCATAGCATTGTGTTAGCATGAGGTGTAAAACAATGCTTCTGTGTGTGTGTTGCAAAATGATGATTATCACAGTTCAGTTAATGACTTTTAAGATCTCTTTCTGTCCCCAGTTCTTGCCCCAGAGTCCCGACACCACCCCCCCCAGCCACCCTGCCTCTGACACCTGGGCCGCCCCAAGCTCTCCTCCTGGGCCCCCTCGCCGTCCCCCATCACCCAGCCCCTTCCCCAGCCTGCCACCCCTCTCTCTCCCTCTAGATCCGAGGAATGGGCATGAACTCCCCAGAGCTGCTCCTGCTGGTAGAAAACTGTCCCAAGGGGGCAGAGACACTGGTCACACGATGTCTGCACAGCCTCACGGACAAAGGTGCCCCCGGGATCCCCACCTTTCATCCTTCTCCTCCTCCATGTCCTAGACCCTTCCTGCTCCCCCTTCCCAAGACCTGAGGGTCAGAGCTGCGAGATATTTTGCCAAATGCATTTGAGAAACCAACGGCCAAAGACTCCTGCTCTGAAGCGGAGTGGGCCGTCCCTCCCCTCGCACACGGCCGCCCTGTGTCACCTTCCCCTCCGTGCTCACCCCCCCCCCCCCCCCCCCGTGCCCCTGCTGCCTCTGCCCACAGTGCCGCCCTCCCCGGAGCTGGTGAAGCGGGTCCGGGATCTCTACCACAAGCGCTTGCCGGATGTCCGCTTCCTCATCCCTGTGCTCAATGGACTGGAGAAGGTATGGAGCGGGGTGTCCGGGTGCCCCCGCGGATGAAGACACAGCAGGGCAGGGATGGCAGGGAGGCTGGCGCCACCACGTCAGATGCTTGTGGCTCCAGCCCAGGGCTCCTCACACTAGGGGTCAGTCTCAACTCTGCTTCATCCTCTGTGACCTTAAGCAAGCCGCCCCCTTCTCTGCACTTCGGTTTCCTCCTGTCAAGTGAGGATCACTGTGATCCCCTCCCCACCATGCACACGGCCGTCCCAAGGCCTACGTACATGCTTCCCCTGCTTGGGTCTTGTTCCCAACAGGATGCGGGGCCCTAGCGGGCCTCAGTCTTCTCATGTGTAGAGATGATGACCACATCGTCCCTTGCAGGGGTCGCAGGGCGTGTGACACAAGGAGGCCTCAGATGGGGAGCGATGAGCTGGGGCTGAGTCAGGTCCAGTGTGACTTGGAGACACAGCTCAGCCCCGCGGGAGCAGAGGGAGCGAGAGGAGGGGAGTGTCCGTGGGTGTGGTGAGGCCAGAGCACCTCCTCACCTCCCCAGGGCCAGCATTTGGGATGGAGGGCACCTGACCCGCCTCCCTGCCCTCTGCCTGCAGAAAGAAGTGATCCAGGCCCTGCCAAAGCTCATCAAACTCAACCCCATTGTGGTGAAAGAGGTCTTCAACCGCCTGCTGGGCACCCAGCACGGTAGGTGGCGTCTTGGACGTGGTCAGAAAGAAAGGAAGTAGAGCTCCCAGGGGAGAGGCCACCCGGGCTTGAAGGACGACCACCTCTGCCCTCCCCCCAGCGGCTGGTGCTAGGGAGGGAATGGAGGCTGGCTGTTGCACACACAACATGGAGATTTAAACCCACACGCAAGAGCGTCCGGGACCCTTGCATAGCACTGCCTCGGAGCCTGTCAGTGAGCCCACTGCCCGGCGCAGCCTGTCCTGTCCAGGGAATGTCTGGGCTGGGCTCCTGCCCTCCTGCGTGCACGGCCTAGGGAGGAGGGAGAAAAGCTGCTCGACCACATGAGATGTTGCCCTAAGTGGGGAAGGAACCCATCGAGGGGAGGAGGAGAGCAAGGTGAAGGCCTTGGGCTGTGAAGGAGGGCTTCCCAGAAGGGGTGGCATTTAGTCCGTTGTCCTCCCCTGCTCTAGCCCTGGGTCCTCCCAGTCCCATCGAAGCAGAGGTGCCTCACCCCCGTTCACCACGCCCCTGATCTGGGGAGCCCAGCTGTTCCTTCCGCTTGTACACGGTCTCCTTCCCCTCCCCGCTCCCACTCCCGTCTGCTGCAGGGGAAGGGAACTCGGCCTTGTCCCCGCTGAACCCTGGAGAGCTTCTGATCGCATTGCACAACATTGACTCGGTGAAGTGTGACATGAAGTCCATCATCAAAGGTGAGGCGCTCCCCCCATTCCCCCCCCCCCCAAGTGGCCTGGCTGCTGCAGACCTGGGGAAGAGCCAGTCACCCACATGTCCCCGCTGGAATCCGCCAAGTTGGAGATTGTACCACCTGCAGCCCCATCTCCGCTCTGGATGCCCACCCTCCTTCCTCCCCCCCCCACCTCCTCTCCTTCCTCCCTCCCTCCCACCATCCAAGGAACTGGCGCATCCACTATGCGCTGGCACAGAGTAGCCCTCCCTTCCCAGGCCTGGCCTGAGGAATGAAGGAAGCCGAGCAGGGGCAGAGGTGCGGCCAGAGCAGGGGCAGAGCAGATGGAGTGCACCAGGGCGGTTGTTGGACGAGGAGTAGGTGCACCGTCCCGTCTGGGCTCTTGAGCTCCGGTTGAGGCAGGAGAATGTGCCCCCAGGGCAGGGGCTTGGGGACAGGCTGGCCGCCCCCCCACCATCAGCAGTTCCACGATGGCTGCTGTCACCACTTAGTGAGCACTTAGACTGAGCCCAGCCATCCTCAGCGCCCCGCGGGCCTGCCCACCCGTGCACGCAGCCCGGTGCCTGGTGAGTATGCCGACGTCCGTGTTCTAGACGAGGAAACAGAGGTTCCGGAGAGATTGAGTGACTTGCTCAGGGCCACACACAGCTCAGTGGTAGTAGTAGGATCCGACGTCCGGTAGACCCGAGTCGGAATCCGGCTCTGCCAGTTCCTCCCGTGCATGGCACCCTGGGTCTCAGGCCCCCTCCCGTAGGAAGACTTCCGTCCGTCAGCTCTCCTCAGCACTACCTGCCCCCGCTCCTCCCCGAGGGAGGTGTCTGGTCCAGAAACCCTGCTTTCCCACCGAGGAGGAGGCCCTTAGTGTCGCCCACTCCACTCAGAAGACGTGTCTTGGACTCTTTACTTTAAGAGCAGGGAGGGGGTCTTCCCCTGGCCACCTACTTTCACGTCTGGCCTCAAGTAGCTTCTGCAAAGACTGCCTTTTTCCTAGCCTTCCTCAGCAAGTTCTGTCAGAATCTTTTAGGTCAAGAGAGGAGCTTACGGAAATTTCAAACCCACGCCACAACCGAGGAGGCGCTAAGGCTTCCTGAGCAGCACTGAGCAAGCTGAAAGAACAGTAACGTGAAAAGGCTCTTGAAGCTCAGCATCCAGAGTGGCCTTCTGTGTTTTGTTTTTTTTTTAAAGTTTGTTTGTTTATGTAAGTAATCTCTGCACCCAGCGTGGTGCTCAAACTCAGAGCCCCGAGATGAAGAGATGAAGAGTCACATGCCCCTGTGACTGAGCCAGCCAGGCACCCCTGGGAGTGGCCTTTTTACACACGGTAGCCCCTCTGATGATGTCGGGGAAGCTACATGTCTGCTCCCAAGGACCATACGCTCACATGGTTTTGCGTACAATTTGAGGGGATTCACAGACCCCCACCACCCCACTAACCCCATTCACAGACCCAGATCTAGTCCCCAGGAGAAAAAGAGCCTTGTCGCAGGTCGCTCAGGTGGCCAGTGGCCAGGTCCCTGGAGATGTCATCAAGGCCTGTCCTTTTTAAATTTATCTATTTCTTTTTAAATGTTTATTTTTGAGAGAGAGACAGAGAGCACGACCAAGGAAGGGATAGAGAGGGGTGGGGGGCAGAGATTCCGAAGCAGGCCCTGTGCTGACCACAGAGAGCCCAATGTGGGGCTCTAACTCACGAGCCGTGAGATCATGACCTGAGCTGGTCGGTCGCCTAACCGACAGCCGCCCCTGGAACAAGCATTCACTCATGGCATTCACTTCCCCCTTTTTTTTTTTCAGGGTGTTTTTTTTTTTTAAGTTTTATTTATTTCTGAGAGAGAGAGAGAGACAGCATGAGCAGGGGAGGGTCAGAGAGAGAGGAAGACATAGAATCCGAAGCAGGCTCCAGGCTCTGAGCTGTCAGCACAGAGCCCAACGTGGGGCTCGAACACATGAACCGCGAGATCATGACCTGAGCCGAAGTCGGACGCTTAACTGACTGAGCCACCCAGGAGCCCCTCACTCCCCTTTAAACCACCCTCTTTCTGTGGTGGGTTTATAACTGGACCTGCCCCCAGTGACCTGGTGCAGCAGTTAAGACAACTCACAGGGCGCCTCTGCTCAGCCTTGTGCTGGGCAGTGCTGGACGGGGACAGCCCTGTCCTCCCTCAGGCACTCACGGTCTGTCCCCGGACCTTAGCGTTCCACAGTGAGCAGGGCTGTGACGGGAGCCCCCAGAGGACACCTGAACAGAAACTGCAGAAGGATGAGTAGGGGTGAGGTAGCAAGGGAGATGATGATTCCAGAGAAAGCAAGAATATTCGCGGAGGCCAAGAGGTGTGCTGGCATGGCCTGGTTCTGCAGAGGTGAAGCTGGTTAGGTCTTGTGGTTTAGGGGAAGGGGCCTAGTCAGGAGGTCAGGCTGGAAGCATTAGGAAAACGGTGCCTGGGCCCCATCCACATGGCGGTTCATAGGCCACAGCGGGAAACTGGACTTGATCTCTGGAGGGCCTCTGGGAGGTATGGGCTCAGAGCAAGCTCCTTAAAAACCCCTCAGGCTGCTCTGGAGGGCGGATGAGAGGGCTGGGTGGGAGGCCCAGGAGGAGACTGGAACAGAGTGGGGGAGCGAGGACGGGGCTGGTTGTGGACCCTTGCAGGCAGAGCAGGCAGGAGCCTAGAAGGCAGGAGGAGGAGCATTCTTGGTTTCTGGTAGGTTCACTATGGCTTCTACACTGTCCTTCCCTTCTACACTGTCCTCTGGCCCAGATGCCTGCCCTACTGCCGTCCAGTCTCCTCCCTGCCTGTACTCCTGGAATGCCTTCCATCTGCCCCCCGGTCCTTATGGGAGCCCCTCATTCCTCATAGGCACCCACCCCTGTTCTCCATTAGCCTCTCAAGGATTGGGGGCCTCTCTTCTGGCTCAATAAAGACTTCCTGGTTGACAGACTCACATGGCAAGTGGTGTTTGGGGAAGAAGGGGTTCAGAGGCAGTTCCTGGGGTCTCCCCATCAGCACAGTGGATCAGAGCACTGCCAAGCCTGCTGTTTTTGGGGTGCCACAACCCATTCCTGAGGGAACGGACCCCAAGGCCTGCCTGCCTTCATGGATGTCCATACTGGGCCCACCCTCCTGGAGCCCTTCCTCGCACTGGGTGCTGAGCTGGGGAGCTCTCCGTGTGCCCACGCTTCCTCTCCTGCTCCTTCCTCCCTTATTCTGTGGACCGTGTCCCCCACGTGGCCCCAGGCCTGGGATCCCTCCAGCACCAGCACAAACGCCCTGTGCCCCGGTCAGGACGGGGAGTGGGCAGCCTGCTGGTGGAGGGCGTCTCTCCTATGAGGAGGCTTACAGGAGTCAAAGCTGCCTTCCCTCTCGGGGGGGCGGGGGGCGGCCAGCCAGAATGGGCCCCCAGGCTCTGGCAACCTGTCTTTCCTGCCCCAGCCTTTCCATGGGTTGTCCCCAAAGAAAAAGGGCCAAGGTCTGCCCGCTGTGCCCGGCGTGGGGCTCCCGGGAGCTGGACGGGTCTTTAACCTTGGACCGAGACGGCAGGCTTTCCACGGACCAGGCCGCAGTGTCCCCACAGGGACCCGCTGGGCGAGGAAGTCCCTCGCATCTGGAGCTTCAGGAAGTGAAGGCTGGGTCTCCACGCGCGCAGGCGGATAATGGGGCGCTGTGAGGGTGGTGGGGCTCCCACCTCCCAGGGGGCGGGCAGGCAGAGAGGACAGGCCCACTCTCCGCCTCCTCGCAGCCACCAACCTGTGCTTTGCGGAGCGGAACGTGTACACGTCGGAGGTGCTGGCCGTGGTGATGCAGCAGCTGATGGAGCAGAGCCCCCTGCCCATGCTGCTCATGAGGACCGTCATCCAGTCTCTGACCATGTACCCCCGCCTGGGGGGGTTCGTCATGAACATCCTGTCCCGCCTCATCATGAAGCAGGTAACCCCCCCCCCCCCTGCCCTGGGCCCCACAGGCAGCGCACCGCAGCAGGACACATGGGAGACAGACTGGAGGCATGGCCTGCGGCTTTCCCAGCCGGCCGGCCTGCCCCCACCGCGGGGAGCCAGGAGGGGAGCCGCCAGCCCCTTGGCCCCACACTGGGCCAAGGCAAGACAGCCCAACAGGCGGCGCTAACTCTACTCCAGGTAGGCCACCGGGTGGCAGGAGCAGAGGCCTGGTGCCCCTTGCTGCGACCTCTGCACCCAGCCAGAATGCACGCTAGGGCTGAAAGATGGGCCCCATTTTCAGGAAAAGCTTGAAATCTGGGTTTTTAGAAGTAACATGATCAAGTATGAAACAAACCCCATGCGTAAGCTCTCAGACTAGGCCCAGCCACTTTGCCACTTTGCAACATCTGGCTTAGAGGTGCAACGCAGATTCAGACAACCCTGGGTTCGAATCCCGGTTTTGCCCCTCGGTACCCTGCGCCTCCCTGGGCATCGTCTGTCTAGCACGGCTGGTGTCGCTCCTTGAGGCTGCTGTGGGAGTGAACTGAGACAATGCTTGCGTGATAGGGCCACCCCCATTTCCTTCTCCTCTTTTCCTGAGAGGCCCTCATGGCCTCAGCTGCTTGGGATCAGAGAGAGAAAGTCACAGGGTCCTCTGGAGGGCCTGAGGTCGGGGTTGCATGGTTAGGGCCCCACTGTGGTAAGGTGTGTCTCCTGGTTTTGGAGGTGGCTCCCTGTGCGCCCCACCAAGGACCGCTCCCTCCCCGTCCCGTCCAGGTGTGGAAGTACCCCAAGGTGTGGGAGGGCTTCATCAAGTGCTGCCAGCGCACCAAGCCCCAGAGCTTCCAGGTCATCCTGCAGCTGCCGCCCCAGCAGCTGGGTGCCGTCTTTGACAAGTGCCCAGAGCTCCGGGAGCCCCTGCTGGCCCACGTCCGATCCTTCACCCCCCACCAGGTACCCCGGGGTGTGGGATGGGTGGCCCCTTGGGTTCGGCCCTGGAGGACTGGGTGGGGGTGGGGAGAGGGGAGCCCTGCCCTGCCACAGTGGGTCAGGAACCAGGGATCGGGGGTGTCCACTTGGGGTCTCGAGTCCGAGCGCTCCGTAGAGCTCCCCACCTGCTCTTCCCCTAGCAAGCACACATCCCCAACTCCATCATGACCATCCTGGAGGCCAGTGGCAAGCAGGAGCCAGAGGCCAAGGAAGTGCCCGCGGGGCCCCTGGAAGAGGTGAGGGCCCACAGCCTCCCACTCCCCAAGCCAGCGAGGCCCACCCTGGTCTCCCCACGCCCGCCACCTCTGCGCGGCGGAGGCTCCTGCTGAAAGGGATGGGGGGTGGAGGGGCACTTGCCCTCTACTTACTCCCGGTGCCCACCCTGCCGTCTGCCTCGGAGCGCCTTCCGGCTCTTTGCCACCATCCTCTGACAGCACCCTGTGACCTGCCTCCCCCTCCCCTGAGCTTCTCCATGCCTTTCCCCACCCCCAGGACGACCTGGAGCCCCTGGCCCTGGCCCCGGCCCCAGCCCCCCGGCCCCCTCAAGACCTCATCGGCCTTCGGCTGGCCCAGGAGAAAGCCTTAAAGCGGCAGCTGGAGGAAGAACAGAAGTTGAAGCCGGGAGGAATAGGAGCCCCCTCGGCCTCCTCGTCGTCGTCGTCGTCTTCCGCCTCCCGGCCAGGCCCTCCCCAGCCCGAGGAAGCCATAGATTTCCGGGAGGAGGGGCCCGAGTGTGAGACCCCCGCCATCTTCATCAGCATGGATGACGACTCGGGCCTGACCGAGGCCGCCCTCCTGGACTCTAGTCTTGAGGGGCCCCTACCTAAGGTAGGGATGACAACCTCAGAGCGGCGAGAGAAGAAACCAAGTAGGGCCCTGGGGTGAAGGGTGTGTGCCAAGGGCCCAAGGTTGGGATGGAGAAGGGAGGGTACCTCCCGAAGGAAGGCTTGGAGGTAGGACCGCCCTGTCCTTGACCCGCTCCCCCTTCTGTCACCAGGAGGCAGCGGGCGGGTTGACCTCAAAGGAGGAGCGCAGCCCCCAGACCCTCACCCCTGCCGGAGAAGATACCGTGAAGACCCCCAGCCCCGCCGCCGCCGCTGCCGAGGAATCCGCGGAACCCGAGACCAAGGGGAACAGCTGACGGGGCTTGGTGGGGAAGGGGAACGGGGCCGGGAGCTCGGGAAGGGCGGGGCGGGGCCTAGCCGGCGGGGCTTTGCCTTCAAAATTAAAAAGATCGCGGGTCTGGGGCGTGGATGCAGCCTCTGGTCTCTCCCTGCGTGTCTGCGGCGGGACTGCGCGCTAGCTAGTGAACGCGCCCAGCTGCCGGCCGGGGGACGCGCAGCCCCTCCGTCGCGGGGTGCGCCTGCGCGGAAACCGGCCCCGGCGTCCCCGCGCGCCCTCCCCTAGTAACGGCCCGCCCCCTCCCTGCTTAGAAACGGGGGTGGCGGCGGCTGCAGCGGAGGCTACCGGGCGTGTGCCGGCGGGCGGGCGACCGGCCTGGCCTGCCTGTCTGCAAGCCTTCCTCCTGGAAGCCTCCGATCCATTTTGAACTATGGGAGACCCGCCGCCCGACCCTGAGCCCCCTTCCCAGCCGCCTGGTTCCAGTCGGAGGAGTTCCCAGGTTTCCCAGCAGCGCAGTCGGGAACTGGGTCAGCTCCAGCCCGCCTTCTCCGAGGAGGCGGAGCAGATAGCGCCTGAGGCCCGGGTCCTGCAGAGCAGTCAGGGGTACCTGGCGAGCCAGACCAACCTCCAGGGCTGGTCACCAGGGGCCACCGTGACCCAGCAGGAGAACTTGATGTTCCAGGCTGAGGAAGCCCGGCTGGGTGGTGTAGAGTACCCGCCCTTGAGTATGGGCTTTCCCATGCAGCCCTACCCTTACCTGGAAGAAGGCGGGATCCAGGTCCCCCGAACCGCCAGCATGGTGCTGCAGCAACTACAGCAGGGCCAAGGCAGCCTCTTCGAGCAGCTGGAGTCCGCCTACCAGGGCTCCGGGGCCGACTTCCTGGGCCAGTTCAACATGTACCAGAGAGAAGACATGCAGTACAGCCAGGATGCCCAGCACGGGCCCTACCTGAGGGACGACCCCGCCCTCCAGTTCTCCCCCTCCGAGCTGGGCTTCATGCCCTTCACTATGGAGGAGCCGGAGCCGGAGCCTCGGGAGCTGGCGGTGCAGAATGCCAAGGCCTACCTGCTGCAGACCAGCGTCAATTGCAGCCTCAGCCTGTGAGAAGGGGCTCGCGGGTGGGGGAGGGGGTGGGGCCCCTGCAGGGAGAGGACCCAGCCAAGGCTCCGCCTCGGGCTCCCGGGTCTCTTCAGTCAGACAGGGGGTCACGCCTCGTGGGGAACCAGGGACTGGCCCAGGGGCATCTGACTCAGACTTGGAGTCGGGGTCTGAAAACACCGAGCATGGCTAGCATTTTCTTCCCAGACGCCACCATTCCCGCGTTAACATCTAGTTCTCTCAGCTGACATTAGGGCGTCTGCCATCCCCGTTTCACAGAGGACAAACCCAAGACAGAAAAATTCGGTCCCACATCCAAAATGGTAACAGCTGGGATGTGGCAGAATCCGTATGATTTGGCTCCTGAGGCCCGATTAGCCACTAACTTGCCAAAGCCTCTTAGCTGTGGTGAGAATACAGTTCTCGGTCCCCATTACGTCATCATAGAACTTACATCCCAGTGGGCGAGCAGACAATAAATATAATAAATGATAAGTAATGATAAGAGCTAAGGTGGAAAATAAGGCACGGTAAGGGGGCTTTGGGAGTGCATGTTCAATACCATGAGGTCAAGGAAGGCCTCTGGGGAAGTGACATTTGATCAGGAACCTGAAGGACAGGAGGGAGGGCAGGTAAAGGAGGAAGCACATTTAAAGGCTTGCGGTGTTTTAGGAAGAGCAAGGAGGCTGGTATGACTAGAACCAAGGGAGAAAGAGGGGGGGCAGGAAAAGACAAGGCTGGAGAAGTAACAGTTCTTATTAAAGCACAGAACTGACCCCATCCGTCTCCCATGCACAGAGCTTGCCGTGGCTCAGGAGTAAGTTCGTGCTCCTCGCGACGGCCATCCGGCCCCTGTCTCTCTCCCAACTTCATCTCTGCTCAGCTCCTGGCCTCTGATCCTGGAGTCTAGTCAGAAATAACCTCTAGCTCTTCCCAACAGTTCCCAACCTTGGAAGCTTCAAGGTCCTTTGTTGAGAAGCCATGGTCAAAGTCTGACCTCCCCTTAGCCTTCCCAATCCAGTGATGGATCTCCACTACACCCAAGATGACTGCTGAAGGGTTTCCACCAGAGGGTTGGTCCCCCCCTTCTTCTTAGAGCGAGCAGACATGAGAGAATGGGAGGGGAGAGAGAGAGAGAGAAAGAGAAAACTCCAAGCAGGCTCACACTTAGCCTGGAGCCCAATGCAGGGCTCAGTCCCATAACCCTGGGATCGTGACCTGAGCTGAAATCAAGAGTCAGACGCTCAGCCAACCGAGCCACCCAGGCGCCCCGCAGACAAACATGCTTCGAAATCAGACCAACCTGGTTTCAAATCCTGACTGTGCTACCACTGTGTGACTCATGCCCTCAACTTTTCCATGCCTCAGTTTCCTCACCTGGAGAGTAGGGATCATCATTGTTACTCAGATGTACAGTTGTGGTGAGAATCCAACACTGCTCTCCAGTGCCCAGCATGGTCCCTGACTCAGATACAGGGAAGCCATTACAATCCCCTTATCACTCTGCCTCCTCGCCTCCCCTGATCCCTCTCTCTCCTTCTACTCCAGCCAACATGCCAGGCACACCCTCCGCTCAAGGCCTCTGCACATCATTCCCAACCATATCATCTGCAAACCGTGGCAACTTTGCTTCCTTTCCAGTCCTTTATACCTTTCCTTTTTCTTTTATTTTTTTAAATTTTTTAATGTTTTATTTATTTCTGAGAGAGAGAGAGAGAGACAACGTGAGCAGGGGACGGTCAGAGAGAGGGAGACACAGAATCTGAAACAGGCTCCAGGCTCTGAGCTAGCTGGCAGCACAGAGCCCGATGCGGGGCTCGAACCCATGAACCGTGAGATCATGACCTGAGCCGAAGTCGGACGCTTAACCGACTGAGCCACCCAGGCGCCCCATTACCTTTCCTTTTTCATGTCAGATTGCATTGGCCACGACCTCCGGCGCAGTCATGAAAGCAGGCATCCTCCTTCCCGATCTTAGAGGGAAAAAGAATGCTCAGTCCTTCACCATTATGTTTGGGGTGTGCATAGGTTACTTGGGGCTCCCCTTTATGCAATTATAAAAAAATTACCTTCTAGGGCGCCTGGGTGGCTCAGTCGGTTAAGTGCCTGACTTCGGTTCAGGTCATGATCTCACGGTTTGTGAGTTCAAGCTCCAAGTCAGGCTCTGTGCTGACAGCTCAGAGCCTGGAGCCTGCTTCAGATTCTGTGTCTCCCTCTCTCCCTCCCCCTCCCCTGTTCACTCTCTGTCTCTCTCTCAAAAAATAAACATTTTAAGAAATTGGGGCAGGTGGCTCAGTCGGTTAAGCATCTGACTTCAACTCAGGTCATGATCTCATGATTCATGGGTTCAAGCCCCATGTCGGGCTCTGTGCTGACAGCTCAGAGCCTGGAGCCTGCTTTGGACTCTGTGTCTCCCTCTCTCTCTGCCCCTCCCCTGCTCGTGCTCTGTCTCTCAAAAATAAATAGACATTTTTAAAAATAAAAAAAAATTACCTTCTATTCCTCATTTGGTAGGGTTTTTTTTCTTAATCATAAGTGGGTGTTGAATGTTATCAAACAACTTCTCTGCACCTACTGAGGTTATTTTACATATATTTTAAACATATTAACATGAGTTATTTTTTCCCTATTTTTCTAATATCTTCCCAGTCTTGCATTCCTGTTTTTAGCCCAGTTTAATTATGGTGCATCATCTTTTTGAGAGCATCTTTTTGCTGGATGTAATTTGCTAATATTTTTGCTTAGGCTTTCAGCATCTGTATTTCTAAGCAAGATGGGCATGGAATTTTCCTTTCGCCTAGTTTCCTTGTTTTTTAAAAATCTTTTTTTTTAAGTTTATTTATTTTGAGAGAGAGACAGAGAGACAGTGCACACGAATGGAGGGAGGGAGAGAGAGAGAGAGAGAGAGAGAGGAGAGAACCCCAAGCAGGCTTTGCACCCCGCGTGGTGAGATTGTGTGAGATTGTGATCTGAGCCGAAATTTGAGAATCAGACACTCACCTGACTGAGCCACCCAGGCGCAGCCTCCTTGAGTTTTGCTGTCAAGATCATGTGAGACTCATGAGGTGTCTAAGGGCCTGCTGTTTTCTCTGACCGAAACACTTCCCCACCCCCAGTATCTGTACGGTTTGCCTCCTCAGGTCATTCAGATCTCAGCTTAAATGTCACCTTGATGTGACTTTCCCTGGCCCCCCTCCCTGTTTAAAATTGCCAGCCATCTCCTATCGCCGGCATCCCCAGCCCCCATTCCCTGCTTTGTCTCCATAGAAATTACCACCTCCTGCCACGCTATATGTTTTGCATATTTGGTTCATTTCTGTCTCCATCAACAGAATGTCAACTCCACCAGGGCAGGGACCTTTTTTCTCTACTGTGTCCCCGGCACCAGGCCCAGGGCCAGGCGCACAGCGGTGAGCTCACTGAGCTGATCGAGTGATGTCTCCCACCCCCCCACCCCCCCTTCCGTGGGAGGCAGGTATGAGCACCTGGTGAACCTGCTGACCAAGATCCTGAACCAGCGGCCCGAGGACCCCTTGTCCATCCTGGAGTCGCTGAACCGCACCACACAGTGGGAGTGGTTCCACCCCAAGCTGGACACCATGCGGGATGACCCGGAGATGCAGCCCACCTACGAGATGGCGGACAGGCAGAAGGCGCTGTTCCTCCGGAGCAGCGGAGGCGAGGGCGAACAGGAGATGGAGGAGGAGGTGGTGAGTGAGCCAGAGGGGAGGCGGGCGCCTGGCAGTGGGGGCAGTGACCCAGGCTCGGTCACAGAGTGTGCTAAGGTCTGAGGGTGAGGGAGTGCACGGTATGACCCAGAAACCAACAGTTTCCGTTAAGGGTGCGCACCGGGCCGGGGGGATCAGGGTCACAGAGGGCTTTGAATGCCAGACCAAGGAGACTGGGCTTTCTCCTGAGGTGGCTGGAGAGCCGAGGAAGGGTTTGAAGCAGAGGGAAGTCGAGTCAGCTTTGCTTTTTAGGAGACTGACTCCAAGGGCGCCTGGGTGGCTCAGTCGGTTAAGCAGCAGACTCACAGTTGTGAGCTCAAGCCCCTCATCAGGCAGTGCGTTGGGCATGGAGCCTACTTAAGATTCTCTCCCTCTCCCTCTGCTCCTCCCCCATTCGCTCGCTCTCTCTCTCTCAAAAAAAAAAAAAAAAGCTGACTTCAGTGGCTACATGAAGGTGGAGGCTGGTCTCTCTCTCGCCATCCTTTACTCCTCCCTCCCCAAAATAATTCTGCTTCGCAGGCGTTTTCTGTGAAACGCGTTGCCTCCTGGGGTCTCTCAACACTGAAGTGCCCCCTACCCCCAGACTCAGTTTTCCCTTTTGTAAGTAGAGACCCGCTAAGAGCTCTTCCACGCTTGGCCCAGTAACATTTCACTATCCTCAGAATATTTAATTCCCCAATTCTGTTTCCAGGCTTGGACAACGGCTTAACATTCAGGTGAAGTGTTCTGTCACTCGTTCAAGAAGCATTTGTTGGGGACTCTATGCATCATCATTCCGAGGCCTCCTAGGCCCCTGCTAAGCGCTTTGAGAGCCCTGTCTCCTCTCATCCCCGAAACACCCCTGCAAAGCAAGTGCTACCTAATTCCTATTTGTAGAGGAAAGCCTTCGGCTCGGAGGGCGGGAAGCTAGGAAGTACCAGCGACAGGACTGGGAAGGCAGCACCACGTCCCCCAAGCCCGTGCTATATAGAACCTTTGCCCCATCTGCAAATGCGGTTGCTCTGTGCTCACTTCTGTGCTTCTGAGACTCTGGGATTCTGGCGACGGTGGGGTGGGATGGTGAGAAACCACGGCAACGACAGTCTGACAAAGGAATGAGCCCTCGCGTGAGGAAAGCGCAGGTGGAAATACCGAGTCTTGGGCGCGAAGCATTGCCTGGGAATATGGTTTTAAATTTCAGATCCCGTTTCTCCTCGGGAGGCCCCACCCACTTGGAAATGCACCCTTCCTTTCCACCTCCAGGTCCCACCCGCCTCTAACGCAAGGCCCCGAAGGCCCCGCCTCCTTAGAACGCTTGGCGCCTAGAGGCTCCGCCCCCTTAGAGCACCACTGCACTTGAGGCTCCGCCCCGTTGAAATTTCATCCCCCGGGAGGCTCCGCCCCCTTGAACGCCTGGTCCCTGAAGGCCCCACCCGCTTAGAATCTGGAACCGGAATTCTTTCTGGGAGGTCTGCAAACTCGTGGCAAAACTCTAGGCGTTTGGGGCCTGGGCATGTTTCTAGGAAGAGACTCAAAGAAATCAGTGATTCAGCACTTTTTTATTTATTTCTCTGACTGGAGAGAGGGCTCTCGTTTCCTTTCTTCTATTTCTTCCAAGGCGCTAGCCACAGTGTCAACAGCCACGGTGGAAACGTGCATTCTTCCCGTCCCCCCATCCTCTGAAATGCCATCTCTGACTTATTTACGCCTCTACGGACTCGACCGTTGGCGGATTCTCTATTCTTCCCCTTCGCCCCGTGGGTGGCTTTCTGCTCTAGAACTCACTGCGCCTCTGTTTCATTTCGTTCCTGACGATTCTCGCAATTATAATTTCAGACTAACTTGAGTATTATTTCATCACATTACCAAAACTAACACTTTACTTAGATCACGTGAAGGCAGGCAATAGATGATGTTGCAGAAATGGAGACAAGTGGTTTAAAGAAGACAAGTTTTTCTCACCCCCGATGGTCAGGTGAAGGCCGTCTACAGTTGCCAAGGACGCTCCCCGAGGATGGGGCACCCAGGACCGTCCTCTCCCCCCGTTCCCAACCCGCCTCCCTATTTCTACACCAAGGAAGGTGTTCATGCAGGTTTCGGCATGAAGAAGCCTGAGTATAAGTCCCACCTCTGACCAGTGCAGTCAGCTAGGCTTGCCTTTGGCTGCAAATGCTTAATTAAAATGGACCAAGCATTTCAGCAAAAACGTTTAATTACTTCACGTAATTAACTTCCCAAGATCTCCGGGAGATCCCCTCGGTTCTGTCTGTTGGGTCCTTGAACTCATCACTTGATAGTCCCACACCAGTGGCCCCAAAAAGGGACGGGGTGGGGAGCGCTTTTCTTTGTGTGTCTCCCTTTAAAAAAAATTGGAGGGCGCCTGGCTGGCTCAGCCGGAGCACGAGACTCTTGATCTCAGGGTTGTGAGTTCGAGCCCCACATTGGGTGTAGAGGTTACTAAAAAAATAAACTTAAAAAATAAAAAGTAAAGTTCAAAAATTGGGGGCAAAAGTTTCCCAGAAGCCTTTGGGAAGACCTCTGTCTGCATCTTATTGGCCAGATTGGGTCACGTGACCATCCCTGGCTGCAGGCGAGGCTGGGAGGGTGGCGGTGGAGCAAGGCGGGTGGATGGTGCCTGCTCAGCGGGCCGACAGTGACTGACTGAGCCTATCAAACCCAAGGGTAGAGACGTGGCTGGGCCCCTGGCAGAGCCAGATTATACCAAAGAAATAATCTCTAGGCAGGAGGATGCTGGCTATACTCCCTCTCCGCTCGGTCACGCGATACTGGCCATAGCAGAGGAGAGAAGCAGAATCTGACCTGTCCTGGGGGGGGAAGGGGCAGTTTTCCACTCTTGCTCCAACAACAGTGAGCAGGGCAGAGTAATATCACTTAAACATGATTGGTGAGGCCACTCCATTGCCAAGTGGATGGGGGGGTGGGGATTCCCAGAAAGAGGGAGGTGGCCATTGGCTCATGGACCAGTCACTCCCTCATCCCCTTTTCTTTTTAATAAAAATTTTTAAATGTTTTATTTATTTTTCAGAGACAGAGAGAGAGAGAGCGCGGGGGAGGGGCAGTGAGGGAGGGGAACAGAGGATCCGAAACAGGCTCTGCGCTGACAGCACAGAGCCTGATTTGGGGCTCGAACTCTCGAACCCAAGATCACTGAGCCACCCAGGCGCCCCTCTACACTCATTGCTTTATCTTCCTTCTCGTTAGTGAGGTGTCTTGGAATTAGGTTTGACTCCACGCCCCCTGCATGGGCGATGACAGCATCAGTTAGGAAAGCCAGCATTTGCGTTGTGTTTACAAGGGGGAGAAAGTGCCAGAACCACTTTCAAAATAACCATTCTCCTACTACCAAGTATTAGGGTGTGCCACCTCTCGAGCTGGGAGTAAAACAAAAACAAAAACAAAAACAGCACAACAGTCTCGGTGGCTTAAAACTACACAAGGGTGCCTGGGTGGCTCAGTCGGTTAAGCATCTGACTTCGGCTCAGGTCACAATCTCACGGTTCGTGGGTTCGAGCCCCGTGTCAGGCTTTGTGCTGTCAGCTCGCAGCCTGGAGCCTGCTTCAGATTCTGTGATTCCCTCTCTCTCTGCGCTTCCCCCACTCAGGCTCTGTCTCTCTCTGCCTCAAAAATAATATAAACATTTTATTTTTAAAAAAGACTTAAAAAAAAAAACTACACAGTTTATTTCTTGCTCACAGGACCTGCCCGCCCCGGGTTCCCAGAGGATTTTGCTCACCAGCTGCCTGAGAACCCAGGGCGATGGAGGCCACCGCATTGTGCCACAGGCTGCCAAAGTTGGGGAGGAAAAAGAGAGGGTAGCAAGTGCCACATCGGTTCCTTCTTACAGCTTCTGACTGGCTGGGACATGTGTCCCTGTCACTGCTGTTTCAAGCAGTCAGAGCAGGTGACATGGCCCCTCCTGAATGCATTGGGGGCCTGGGAACATATCATTCCCCTTTGGGGAGGGGTTTCAAACCCTTGTGAAAATGGCATGCCCATGGCCAGCAGGCAGAGGGAGAAGATGCAATAAATTGTTCCTTTTAGCACTATTCACACATGGAACTTTGAACAAAAACAAACAGGGGCACCTGGAGGTCTCAGTCAGCTGAGTGTCCGACTTCGGCTCAGGTCATGATCTCACGGTTCGTGGGTTCGAGCCCCGCATCGGGCTCTGTGCTGACAGCTTGCAGCCTGGAGCCTGCTTTGGATTCTGTGTCTCCCTCTCTCTCTGACCCTCCCCTGCTCATGCTGTCTCTCTCTCAGAAATAAATAAAAAACACTTAAAAATTAAAAAAAGAATAAGCATTTAAACAAACAAACAGGAACACAGTATATAAACCTTTAGGGAAAACCTTAGTATGCTTGTCACCAAATCTTTTCTTTGTGATTTAAGCATGGGTATTCATTTTTACACCAACCATCTGTAATGGGTTGAATTGTGTCCTCCAAAAACTCTTATGTAGTATTTTGTTTGTTTGTTTGTTTATTTATTCCTTTGAGAGAGACAGACTGTGAGTCAGGAGGGGCAGAGAGAGAGAGGGAGACATAGGATCCGAAGCAGGCTCCAGGCTCCGAGCTGTCAGCACAGAGCTCGACATGGGGCTCGAACCCACGAACTGTGAGATCATGACCTGAGCCGAAGTCGGAAGCTCAAATGACAGAGTCACCCAGGCGCCCCCTTATGAAGTAACCTTATGAAGGGGCGAAGTATCCCTCACCCAGGTCCTTCAGAATCTGACCTGTTTTGGAAGGAGGGGCATTGCCGACGTAATTAGTTATGAGTTCCTTCTGGAATAGGGCGAACCGCTGGTCCATTACACCTCGTGTCCTTATAAAAGGTGAAGTTTGGACACAAAGTCTCAGAGTCAGCCACCACGTGGCTCCTGCGCCACTTTTTACCTGTTTCACTTTGAGCCGCGCACACAGAGGGGACCCATATCGGTCTCTTATTGCTGCTGCAACAAACTGAGTGGCTTAAGGCCATGTAAGGTTTCGTCTCATAGCTCTGGAGGTCAGAAGTCCACTTCGGGTTGGGCTTCCCAGGCTAGGGTCAAGGTCGGCAGGGTTGCCCTACTAACGGAGGCTCTTGAAGAGAAACCATTCCCTAGCCTTCTCCAGCTTCTAGAAACAGTGCATCTTTGAGGCATCTGGGTGGCTCAGTCGGTTAAGCGTCTGACTACGGCTCAGGTCATGATCACACAGTTAATGGGTTTGAGCCCCACATCGGGCTCTATGCTGACAGCTAGCTTGGAGCCTGCTTCCAATTCTGTGTCTCCTTCTCTCTCTGACCCTCCCCTGCTCACGCTGTCTCTCTCTCTCTCAGAAATAAATAAAACATTAAAAAAATAAAAAAACAAAACAAAAAACGAAACAGTGCACCTTCCTCCAGGGCCCTCCTCCAGCTTGAAAGCCAGCCAAGTGCAGGGCCTTCCTGTCTTTGACTCTGACCTCTGCTTCCATCACGTCTTCTCTGACCCTCCTGCCTTCCCCCCTTTCACTCCGCAAGACCCTTGGGATGACTTCGGCCTCACCCAGATCATCCAGCGTGATCTCCCTATCTCAGAATCTTTTTTTTTTTTAATGTTTTATTTATTTCTAAGAGAGAGAGACAGCATGGGCAGGGGAGGGTCAGAGAGAGAGGGAGACACAGAATCTGAAACAGGCTCCAGGCTCTGAGCTGTCAGCACAGAGCCCGACACAGGGCTCGAACCCACGAACTGTGAAATCATGACCTGAGCCGAGGTCAGGTGCTCTACCAGCTGAGCCCCCCAGGCGCCCCTCCCTATCCCAGAAGCCTTAATGTGATCACGCCCGCGAGTCACTTCTGCCCTGTTAGATGGTCACAGGCTCAGGAACTGGGACATGGACATCTTTGAGGAGACTCATTATTCTACCTTCCGAACCTCCTCTCTCTCCATTCTGATTTCAAATTCCGGCAAGAGAGCATGTAGTGGCCCCGGTTTGGACACTGTGTTTCCCCGGACCCGTCAGGCAGGCCAAGGCCAGGTCGTGGGACCTCACAAGGAAGGATGTCTTGGCTTTGCTCTCTGCTAGATCTCAGTGCCTGCCCTGGCCTGGGACTGGCTCCCACTGGGTCTTTCAGAAAGATTTAGGCACTGACTCAGTGAAAAGTATTGGGGTCAGCCTGTGGCCACGTGGTTGTGGGGGTGGCTGGCTGGGCCCAAACCTCACTGTAGTCTAGTCCCAGCCCTCAATTTGCTCTCACTCCCTTTCTGCCCCCACTTCCCCACCTCTCTGCCTCTCTCCCTCTGTCTCCCTGAACTTACCTCCGCCATCCTCCAGGATCACGGATTCCTAGGCTCATGACCTGTGTCTTCCCTTAATTTGCTATATGATTTGGGGGCATCTGTTAGGGGTGCATTTGGGTGCAAGTAACAGAAAGCAAGACTGCAGGGGCCTCTTTGTCCCAAACAACAAGAAGGCCAGGGAGGTAATGAGCAGTGGCTCATTGATGCCACTGGGGACCCGGCAGTTTCCACCTTTCAACTCTACCATCATTAGGGTATGGGTACACACCACCCCATGCATTGCCTCATGGTCCCAAAATAGCTGCTGTGCCTCCAGATCTCACACCCCATTCCGGGCAGAAAGAAAGGGGGAAGGATGAAGGAGCAAAGGATTTTCTCCTAATGATTTTTCTTTTTCTTTTCTCTTTCCTTTCCTTTC